GTGGGGCCCAGCCCGCGTCCGTGGACAGGGTCACGAGCGTTACTTCCTGCTGGTGGTTGACGACTACTCGCGTTACACCACAGTCTTCCCCTTGCGCAGCAAGGGTGAGGTCACTGAGGTGTTGATCGACTGGATCCGCGCAGCTCGTCTCCAGCTCAGAGAGAGTTTCGGCTCGGACTTTCCTGTCCTGCGTCTGCACTCCGACAGAGGAGGTGAGTTTTCCTCTGACCTTCTGCGAGCCTTCTGTCGTGCACAGGGCATCCGCCAGACGTTCACGCTTCCGGCCTCTCCACAGCAAAATGGGATTGCTGAGCGCCGCATTGGCATGGTCATGGACGTCGCTCGTACGTCCATGATCCATGCGGCTGCTCCCCATTTTCTGTGGCCGTTCGCGGTTCAGTACGCGGCGCATCAGATCAACCTTGCCAGAGACCTCCCCCACCTTGCGGTGGACGGGGAAGGTTGGCGATGCGTCTGCGTTTCGTGTCTGGGGATCTCGGGTGTTTGTCCGCGACTTGTCTGCGGACAAGCTGTCCCCCCGTGCTGTTCCCTGCGTCTTCCTTGGCTTCACCCCTGACGCGCCTGGTTGGCAGTTTTACCACCCCACCTCGCGCCGTGTTCTGTCCTCCCAGGACGTCACCTTTGACGAGTCGGTTCCTTACTACCGTCTCTTCCCCTATTGAACTGCGCCCCTCCCCTCGCCGCCGCTCTTCCTTGCGCCAGGTCCCCCCCCGGTAGACCCTCTCCCCCCTCAGGGTCCTGCCCCGTCAGGTGTGTCCCAGGTAGACGCAGTCGAGCCTGTCGAGGTAGCTGTTGACTCTGGTGCTGCTAGGGGTGCGGAACCTGGGGGTGCGGAGTCTGGGGGTGCTGAGCCTGGGGGTGCTGAGTCTCGGGGTGCTGAGCCTGGGGGTGCTGAGCCTGGGGGTGCGGAGCCTGGGGGTGCGGAGCCTGGGGGTGCGGAGCCTGGGGGTGCTGGGTCTGCTCGTGTGGCCTCTGGCGGTGCTGGGTCTGGGGGCCCTTCGGGTGCTTCGTCTCGGCGGGAGCTACCCTCTCCACAGGAGTTGCGCGAGTGGTTTGCCCGGCGCTGGAGCCGTGCTGCTGGAGCTGGAGGTGCTACTGTTGCTGCTGACCCTGGGGTCGGCGCTGGAGGTCCTGGAGCCACTGGTCCTGGAGGTGCTCGTACTGGCGGTACTGGAGCTGCTGGGACTGGAGGTGCTGCTGGGGCTGCTGGAGTTGGTGCTGCTGGAGGAACTGGAGCTGCTGGTACTGCTGGGGGGACTGGAGCTGCTGGGCCTGGAGGTGCTCCTAGTGCTGGAGCTACTGGCGGTGCTGGAGCTGGCGGCCCTGCTGGAGTAGGTGCTGCTGGAGCTGCTGGAGCTGGAGCTGCTGGGGGTGTTGGCGCTGGTGCTTCTGGGGGTGCTGGAGTTGGCGCTGCTGGAGCTGGAGGTGCTGCTGGCGCTGGTGCTGCCGCTGGGGGTTCTGGTGCTGTCCCTGCTGGTTCTGGAGGCGCTGCGCGGCCGAGGCCGTACTTCGTTCCGCTCCTTGAGCAGGTTCTTGGTCTCCCGCCCTCTACTGGTCCTGCTCCTCCCTTAGAGTGTCCACAGCCTGTCCAGTCGCAGTCACAGTTACAGCCTGCCTCCCCCCTACCTGCTCCTTCTCCCTACACTGGTCCTACTGGAGGTCTTGCTGAGCGTCGTGAGCCTGCGTCTCGTCCTGCGTCGCCTGTTCGTGCTGCTCGCACTAGTGGTCGTGCTCCGCGTCCGCGTCCTCCTGCAGTCCCAGGCACACACCAGATGGCACTGCGTCCTTCCACTGCTCCTCTGCGTGTCCCGTTGCCGTCTCCTCCAGAGTCCTCTCTTCCTGTTCTCCCTGACCCGGACTCTGACTCTCTTCGTGCTGCCAGTCCTACTGTCACGCGTCTCCTGGCTACTGTTGTCACTGACCCTTCCTTTGAGTCCACTGCTGCGTCGGCCCTAGTTGCTGAGCTTGTCGACTTTGCTGCTCGCTGTCGTCTAGACTACGCCGCTAGTCTTGTTGCTGAGTCTGAGTCTGTCTGTCCTCCGTCCGTCGGGGGTGAGTGTGCTCTTAGCACGGACGTCCTTGAGGACAGGCAGGAGGAGTTTCAGTGTTTTGCTGCTGCTTTGCCTCATCTCGTGTCCACGCTGATTGCCCCTGAGGGAGACCCGGATGCACCAGACATCCCGACTCCTCGATCGTACGCTGAGGCGATCGAGGGTCCCTACTCCTCACAGTGGCAGTCACCCATGGACGCAGAGATGGCTTCCTGGAAGTCCACAGGCACCTACGTCGACGAGGTTCCCCCACCTGGGGCGAACATCGTCAGTGGCATGTGGATTTTCAGGGTGAAGCGGCCGCCGGGTTCTCCGCCTGTCTTCAAGGCGCGTTACGTGGCTCGAGGCTTCAGTCAGCGGCAGGGGGTTGACTACTTTCAGACCTTCTCTCCCACCCCGAAGATGACCACTCTTCGGGTGCTGCTGCACATAGCCGCTCAGCGCGACTACGAGCTTCACTCTCTTGACTTCAGCACAGCTTTCCTGCAGGGCAGCCTGCACGAGGAGATCTGGCTGCGCCGCCCACCTGGCTTCACTGGGTCGTTTCCCCCTGGTACCCAGTGGAGCCTCCGGCGGCCAGTCTACGGTCTCCGCCAGGCGCCCCGTGAGTAGCACGACACACTGAGGACTACACTTGCGGCTCTTGGGTTTGCTCCTTCTACTGCCGACCCGTCGCTGTTTCTGCGCACCGACACCTCTTTGCCGCCGTTCTACATCCTTGTGTACGTCGACGACTTGGTCTTTGCCTCTGCTGACACTGCTGGACTCGCCCACGTGAAGTCCGAGCTGCAGAAGAGACACACGTGCACAGACCTGGGTGAACTGCGCAGCTACCTTGGCTTGCAGATCACCCAGGACAGAGCACAGCGCACCATTACCCTGACTCAGTCACACATGGTGCAGCAGGTCCTTCAGCGCTTCGACTTCACGTACTCCTCGCCTCAGTCCACTCCTCTGTCTACTCGCCACTCGCTCTCAGCTCTGCCTTCAGATGAGTCCGTAGAGCCGAGTGGCCCGTACCCAGAGCTTGTTGGCTGCCTCATGTACCTGATGACCTGCACACGACCTGACCTTGCATACTCTCTTAGCATCTTGGCACGCTATGTTGCTCCTGGGAGACACCGACCAGAGCACATGGCTGCAGCGAAGAGGGTGTTGCGCTACTTGTGCAGTACGTCGGGCATGGGGCTAGTGCTTGGAGGGCGACGTCCAGTGGTCCTCACAGGTCACGCAGACGCTTCTTGGGCTGACGACCAGGCTACGCAGCGGTCGTCACAGGGTTACACCTTCAGCCTTGGTTCCGGCTCTGTTTCGTGGCGGTCTACCCGCTCGTCTTCTGTTCTCGGCTCCAGCTGTGAGGCTGAGATCTACGCGGGGGCCATGGCTGCACAGGAGCTACGCTGGCTCACCTACCTGCTGACTGACCTAGGAGCGCCGCCTCGTTCTCCTCCAGTTCTGTACGTAGACAACAAGGCCATGCTGGCCTTGTGTCGGGAGCACAGACTGGAGCACAGAACGAAGCACATTGCTCTTCGCTACTTCCTTGCTCGTGAGCTGCAGCAGCGTGGTCAGCTGCACCTTGCTTACGTGGCCTCTGAGGCCAACACTGCTGATATCTTTACCAAGGCACTTCCGCCTTGTGATCATCAGCGCTTCTGTACGATGCTAGGTCTTGTGCCTACTTGGCCTCACTTGCTCACTTCTTGACCTTGCTTGTACTGTGATCTTTCTATACCTGCACTTGCTTGTTTACCTTTATATATGATCTTGCATGTGAAATGGCCTTGTGGCCTTGAACTTGTGCTCGGAATGTGTGGTGACGTTGTGATCCACCCTGAGCTTGCTTTGCTTTGCTTGACTGGTCTTGTGACCTCTTGTTCTCCCCCACTTTGCCTATGGGGGTGTGTCAAACTCATATGCTATAGTCTGTGTAGGCTGTAGTGGGGTAGACCATATGGGGTACAACACTATTAGGTTTTCCTACTTGTACCCACCTGCTTGCTAGTTCATTCATTCCTCATTTCTTCACACGTGACTCTTCTTGACGACTCCGCACAGGTCTGCGCAGTGCTGATACTTCTGACGTGACAGTTTCTTCATCAAGAAGTCGGGTGCCATATCACCAGTTGAGCAGTAGGTAAGCTGGACTTTGCCCTTGTCGATTTCGTCCTTCACGAAGAAGTAACGGAGGGCGACGTGTTTTGTGCGGTTGACGAAGTCGGGTTTGTTCGCGATCTTGATTGCGCTCTGGTTGTCGCACAGTAACTCTAATGATCCGTTCATTTCCATATTCGTTTCTTGCAGAAGCTCCGTGAGATAAAGGCCTTCGCAAACTGCTGCACTTGCATTTGCGGCTTCATCTGACGAGAGGGCGATAAGCTCCCGCATCTGTGAGTTACAAGAGATAGTTCCCGTTGGTTCGAGTTCGTAAATAAATCCCGTGCGGGACCTCCTGTTGTCAGCGTCGCATGTGTGGTCAACATCCACGTATCCAGTAAGCTGCAGGGTAGCCATTAGATTCGCTTTGTAGGTGAGGCCGACGTCGGGAGAAGAAACGAAATATTGTAGGGCGCGTCGTAGGTCCGCCATATTCTCCCCTTCAGGTCGTCGCAGATACTGGGCGAGCTGGCTAGCGACGTATGATAGGTCTGGTCGGCATGTGATGGTGGCGAAGAGGAGGCACACAAGCTGCTGCTGGTAAAGGCGATGTTCAGTGGCTGATAGTGGAGTTGAGTCAGGCTCCTGATTAGGCGGAGGAGCGCGGAATGGGGTGGTGAGGCTGACGGGGGCGATGCCAAATTTCTTGGCGAGTGTCTCCACGTGCCGCCATCACCCGGATATACCCCCAGGTGGGGGTGTAAAAAAACCTGGAAAAATGATGGGTGGGGTTATAATGTTGTAAATTTTATAACCCCATGGGCTAAATAAATGACACTTGAATGTAGATTTCACCGTGGCGATGTAAATCGATGCTAACACAAAGAGGATCGCGGCTGAAAAGTTCCGAGAATGTGACGTACAGTCAAGTATCTTAGTCAGGAAGGTGGTGCATATCTGCAGCTGGTGAAGCTGCAGGAGATGGTTGGGAGTGGGAGGGAGGGGGGTGGGGAGGGTGGCGGTGAGGGAGAGGGTGGGAAGGTGGAGGGAGAAGGGAAGGGAGTGGGGGTGAGTGGTGGGGGGGAGGGGAAGGTGGGGAAGGAAGGGAGTTCGGAGGAGACCAGCACCAGCAGCAGCAGTGCTGATGGTGATGATGATGATGATGATGATGATGATGATGATGATGATGATGATGATGATGATGATGATGATGACGATGAGGAGGAGGAGACAGAGGGAGAGGGAGAGGGGGGAGAGGAGGTTGGGGAGGCTGCTGGCAAGGGGGAAGGCATGGGGACAGACCCAGAGCAGGGCGAGAAGGAAGGCGCAGGAGAGAAGGCCAGGAGGGAGAAAGCGGAGAAGAAGGAGAAGAAGAAGCAGAAGAAGAAGGAGAAGAAGGACAAGAAGAGGAAGAAGCGGTCTCCGTTCCTGCGCCTGGCGATGCTGAACAAGCCCGAGTGGCCATATGCGCTCTCAGGCACGGTGGCAGCAGCGGTGCAGGGCGTCATCCTGCCCTTCTTCGCCCTCATCCTCTCCCGCATCATCACCGTCTTCTACAACCCAGGTGAGCTGGCTGTGCCACAACCCAGGTGGGATTCTATACAACCCAGGAGTGCTTCTGCTTTATGCATCCGAAACAAGTTCCTCATTTCTCTGCCCCTCTTGCTTCTGCTCATTCCCTCGCTACCTCCCTCCCTCCCTCCCGGCCTCCCTCAAACCCCCTTGCCACCCCACCTTTCCCCCCTCTTCCAGACAAGGCCAAGATGCGCAGCGACGCGGACTTCTGGTCGCTCATGTTTGTCGTTCTCGCCGTGGTGGCTTGGGTTTACATTGGTGCGACTTTTGAGAATTCTCAAAAGTCTCAAAAGTCGCACCAATATTAGCGGGGCATGGGGTTGGAGGTCGAGCTATTATTGTCGACTAAGCTTCCTCAAAGCCCAAGTATCGTCCACTTCCCTCCCTCCCTATCCCTCCCCGGTCCCCCTCCCCTCCAGACAAAGCCAAGATGCGCAGCGACGCGGACTTCTGGTCGCTCATGTTTGTCATTCTGGCCGTGGTGGCGTGGGTGTCCCGCACCCTGCAGACGTTCCTCTTCAGCGTGGCAGGGCAGCGCCTCATCTGGCGCATCCGCCGCATGTGCTTCTATTCCGTGCTGCGCCAGGAGATGGCCTGGTTCGACCGCGATGAGAACTCCAGGTGAGCATCACAACCGCACTGACTTTCAACCTTCTAGGCCCGCAAATCTTTGTTCGCGCCTCTCCTTTGACACAACACACGTGCACTCCACCTGTCCACTATGGGCGGCCACCTGTCCTAAGCACCCCTGCTTGCATCCCTCTCTTCCCTCTCTCGTTTTCTCTTCTCTTCGTCCACTCGCAGTGGCGCCATCGGCTCACGTCTCTCCTCAGACGCAACCCACGTGCACTCCATAGTGGGCGACCGCCTGTCCCTCGCCGTGCAGAACGCAGCGACGCTCGCGGCGGGGCTCATCCTGGCGTTCTCGTCCTCGTGGATCCTCTCCTTCATCGTGCTCGCCCAGTTGCCGCTCATCGCTGCCGGCTCCATCTTTCAAATGAAGAGCCTGCAGGGCTTTGCTGATGACGCCAAGGTGGGCTGAGGAGAGGGAGCGGGAGGGGGAGGGGGGAAGGGGGAGGGGGAGGGGGAGGGGGAGGGGGAGGGGGGAAGGGAGAGGGAGAGAAGGGGCATGCGTGGGGGGATGTTGCCTGATCCATCTTCCAGATGCGCAGCCTGCAGGGCTTTGCCGATGATGCCAAGGTGGGTTGTGGGCATTTAGTGGAGTGGGTGCCATGCCACGCCATGCCACGCCATATGATAGTGCTAAATAAATGACACTTGAATGTAGATTTCACCCTGGCGATGTAAATCGATGCCAACGCAAAGAGGATCGCTGCTGAAAAGTTCCGAGAATGTGACGTACTGTCAAGTATCCCAGTCAGCACCTGCTCAAATGTTGCAGATTTCGCGAATGTGCACCTCCTGCAGCAATTTTGCCAAGCGAGCCAGGGGGGGTTTCGTCAGGCGCGTCTGTGACGATTCGTTTAGGCGCGTTAGTGGCTACTTCGCTACATAAAAAACCACAACTCATTGGGTGCGCTTATACGAAGATTGACAGAAATTGGGGTGGGATAATCGGCAACCGGCTATAAGCCCACTAGTACGATTATAACCGCATGGGTGTAACATAGGCCTAGGGGTATATCCGGGTAATGACGGTACTTCGCGCGACGGGTGGATAGTGTCGGCCGACAGAGTCACGTTAAGCTCGAGGAACTGGGTGACGTTGTGATTGACAGTCATCTCGAGCTTCTGCTCGATGTCATGCTCGAAGCGATCAAGGAGCTCCACGTTGTCCCCGGTCTAGAGCAGGTCGTCCACATAGGCGACGATCAAGATGAAGCTACCGCGAGACTCGAGCCGGTACATACTCTGCTCGTGAGGCAGCTACTGGAATCTTAGTTTGATGAGCACTAGCTAGCTCGCACGCACCGCGTAACCGTTGCATGTTTTTTCGCACAGAAGTATTCGCTCATGCCTTCGCTCATACGTTGTATCTTGGGTAAGTAGCTTTCGCAGGGGTACTACTAGCGACTCTGCGCTTTCAACGGGACTACAGTGCTATATGCGGGCACTTTCCGCCACTCCGATAGGAACATTATGGCAAAAGCATAGAACTCGGTCCCAAATTCACCCACGTGTCAGAATTTCGAAAGCCATTGGAAAAATTGTCCCTTTACCTGACCGAAAAAAACTAAAACCCAATCGAGAAGGGATGCGTCTCGGGGAGGCATCAACCCTGAAAAAAATGTGGGTTCCCGTGTTTAGGGTTGATCCCTCCCGAAAATGAGTCCAGGTTCCATATGGGTTTTCTGTTTTTGCCGTGCGTTTTCTAACTTACTGAATTTGTGACACGTGGGTGAATTTGGGACCGAGTTCTGTGTTGTTGCCATAACTTTCCTGTGGCGGAGGGGCGGAAAGTGCCCACAACTAGAACTGTAGTCCCCTTGAAAGCGCAGGGCCGTTAGTAGTACCCCTGCGAAAGCTACTTACCCTTGTATCTTTTGAGCACCTAGTGCAATCCTCGCCATCTCGTTCCATTCCACCCGTAATAGCATGGCATAGAAAGCATTGTAGTATATTCCTTGATGTGCATTCGGAGTTCAACAGGAGGAAACGAGAATATTGCGTTGCACTGCAAGGGATGTTGTGCCAGAAGATATTTTGTTGTGCCAGGCTGTACTGCATCAACTATGACGGCACGGCATACATCCCTCCTTCCTCGATGTTGTCGTGCTTGCTTTCAGATTTCCTCTACACCCTCTTTCTCGCCAGACTGACAATGGGAAGCACTGTTTACAGTGCGTACTTTTGCTTGGACGCTAGCGATCTGGTGCTTGCAACCGAAGCCCAGGTCGGTGGCGGACAATTGCACTCCAGTAGGCGGTACACAACGGTATATAGAGTACAATTTGTCTTGGCGTACGGTTGAGTGCGGGGTAATGTGCATATATGGTCTGTTCTGGGATCATTCTGGACGCATTGATGCCAGTACAGCCAGGTCATCAATATGGCCAATGACAGTGTGGCGAGAAAAAGGGTGTACAGAAACTGTGCAGTTGACCAGCAGGCTAGCAGGCAGCCAAAGCAGCGACTACAGTGACACATCAGAATCCCACACTGAGAAGAATCAACGATAGTGATGGATCCGGTGGCTGAGGTGGTCCAATCTCATTTCAGCATCAGATTCCCTTGCGAGGTTTCTTTTTTTATTCGGTCAGATTAAGGCAGCATGTTGACTCGCAAATTTTATAGGATATGTTTGAATGTTCGCGATTGGAGCTTCCCTGTGGCGAAAACTTTGCAATCGATGGGGAAGAGTACCCCTTTTTTATGTGGCGGGACGGGACTGAGTCGCATATCCAGCCACCCGCCTCGTGTGGTACACCCTGTTTCTCGATGTTTGAACAATCGGGAGCCCCGGCTACAGTGCGCACGTGTGCTTGGATTCAGCGGGCTGGTGCTTGCAACCGAAATGCACTTCAGGAGAACGGTAGACAACGGTTGATGAAAAAAAACGTGCTTTTGAGTTCGGTTTCGTGCGGCAAAAGTGCTTATACGGTATGTTCTGGGACCAATTTGGACGCATTGATGTCAGTACAACCGGCTTGTCAATATGGCGAATGTCAGTGTGGCGCGAAACAGGGTGTAGTGGCAGATTATGACGTCTTGAAGCTTCCGTTTGCCTCGCTTCCGTCTTGTTGCCCCTGCATGAAAGTAGAAAATACAGTTCCGCGTCACCCTTCCTCCCTGTGAAGCAAAAGTCTTGATTGGTTTATTTTGACACCAGCATCTATGCTATCCGTCCAAACGTTGTCTTCTCAAGTCTGTCTCTAGGAGGTCTTCATCTCTAACAGTTGTGCGTTCCCGCCAGTTCATACAATAAATACGGAGCGGGAGAGTCCTAAAATAAAAAGCCCCTGTCCAGTGAAACCTTTCGTGAATGCATGCATACATTGTCGTTGTTCGGTAGTCAGTTGCGCAGACAGGACGTCCTTTTCAACCAGCCTCATTTGTAACACGGTCTAGTGTTGGATCTCGCATCCGATGCTCTGGCCTCAATATCTCTCACCCAAATGGGCTGATGCGGTTGCTGATGTGTGGAGATAGGGTGCACATCCGTGGCCGTCCAGGTGGACCTTTGTCTCTCTCCCAATTGGCTAACAAGCCCATTCATCCATGTCCTCTCGCCTCTCCGCCGCTCGTCTGCGCAATTTTCCTAGTTTTACGGGACTCGATTGGACTGAGAAAGGGCCCGTTGAAATCGGAAATGGACCTTTGTTCCTCCTCGCCTCTACACAACCTCGCGCCGCCATCTCCCCCAACCTCCCCATCCCCCCCCTACCAACCCATCGACCCCCATCCCCTTTCCCTCAACCTCAACTCTTTCACACTCCCCGCTTCCCCCTTCTCCGCCTCCCCCGACCCCCACCCCAACATTTCCTCCGCTCAGCTTGCTCATTCATCAATGCCCAATTGGCAACAGTCTGCTGCCCACTTCAACAGGCCTCAGTCCTCGCACCTCACATTTCTCTTCTGGGTTCTCCACCACATAGCGAATCTCTCGTCTGGACTGAACAGCTCCTCTGCTCCACTGTGCTCCACTCTTTGAAGGTGTCCAACCGGGCACGTTCAAGATCAGGCTAGTGTCCTTGTTCTGAAACGGCTTCCACTCGTTTCGCGGCGATCCAAAGGTGTTCCCTACAGCAGCCATCCATTTTCAGAACCTCTGTCAACCCTTCCTCCGAGGAATTGGAGCATCAAAGCGACGACGAGGTACCTTGTATTCAGCAATAATTTCCCACCTACTCTCCAACAACGCGTCAGCTCGGTTGCACCATCTTGCCATCGATCACCATCTCGCCATCTCGCCATCTCGTCTTCGTCTTCTCGTCTTCTCAGCCGACCATCCAACGAGTCTTCGATCATTCAACGGCAGGCTGCCGCTGTCCTTCACGGTTTGGGTTCTGAGTCCACCGGCGGATCGTCTGTCGACGACGCATCTGGCCGCGAGGATTTCTCTATCCGTAACCAGTACCCCTTCTTCGGTGGGTAGTCCGCAAGCGCTATATTCCGCACCGATTGAAGGTTGAAGAATATAAGCCAGAGGAGGGCGCATTTGGTGCAACCAGCATCATCTCGCTCGCGGCCATCATGTCTCCGTCTTGTGCGATCAACGATACCTCCGCAACAGCGCATCATCACCATCTCCCCCCTCGCCATCATTCGCCTCTCCATGCATCCGTCTCGGGCACCGGAGATTTCTCGCTTTCCTCTCTTAACGTCCCGCAAATAGCGCTACCAGCTGCCGCTCTCTGCTCGCCGTCTCTCCGCCCCACAACCACGGAGCCGCGTCATCTGTCAACGAAAGAACCGCCGCGGCAGCCGCTTCCAACCGTGCCGGCGGCGGCGCATCGATCCGACGGCGCGACCAGCGGCGGCGGGGGTGTTTGGCGGTCGAAAAGTCACGGCGGGTGTTTCCGCAACCAACACGTCGCTCCGTGCGACGACGACGACGAAAACGACGGCGACGACGACGACAAGCAGAAAGAGGAGGGGGAGGACGGGGGAGATGATGATTGGCTTGTTACCTACTCCCGCACTTCGACCTCGTACACTCGACCCGCGCCAGTCGTCGCAACCTCGAAGCCCGTTTCTGTTTGTGCTACTAGCCTCAAGCCTTCTTACCATGCGGGAAATCCACTTGCTTTTGGCGCCGCGGTGGCAGCAGCAGCGGCGGCCGCAACGGCTTCGGCATCGGCATCGGCGTCGGCGGCCGTTACTACTACGAATGCAGCGGGCAATCAGGCAGCGGAGGAGGAGGACGAGGATTTTAACGCGTGGATGCTCAGCGCAGAGGACGCCGCAAGATCAGGGGGTGGAGGTCGTAACGTCACCGCCAGCGCCAGGGGAGGAGGAAAGGGAGGCGGCGCGGCGGGTGTCGGTCAGAGCCAGGCATGCGGAAGTCGCGGCGCAACTGACGGCGGGCCTGACGGCGACGAGTCGGAATGGAGTGCGGCGCTAATGGATCCTAGCCGGAGCGATCGGCGCAGCAGCACTGGCGACAGGCGGCGGTCGTCGCGGCTGTCGGCGAGCTCGAGGCGCCGGAACGCCATGGAGTACTCGGAACTTGACGCCATTCGTGAAAGGTACGCTAGGCCCGAATTAGCTGTTATTATCCTTGGGCGAGCCTGGCAGCGCGATGCGTGGTGCTGGCGCTCCGAGCAGTCCAGGATGGGTTCCCGTTCCGCGTGACCAGCGCCGTTTTCCGATTCCTCATTTCCCCTTCACGATTTTATTGAATTAGTGCCTTTTCATTCCCTCTGTTGATCCCTGTCCACCGTGCTCACTGCCTTACCTTCCTGCCTGCCCTACTCACGCCTTGCCCCTCAGGCTGCTCCATGCCACTCAGCTATGGGCCATCACCGTCGCTGACAGCTCAACGGATGGCGCTGATTCTGATGCTGCTGCTGCTCTTGCTGCCGCTGAGACTGCTGTTGCTGTTACTGGTGCTGCTGTTGCTGTTCCTGCGAATGGAGCAGCAGTCGAGGCACAGCAAGTTGCGCAAGCCACGGCAGCTTCACCCGCTGCTGGCCCAGGACCAAGCTCCTCTGTAGCAACTGCAGCAATGGCAGTGGCGGCAGGAAGGTTGAGCAACGCAGCAGCAGGCAGCAGCGCTGGAAAGCCCCGACTTTCAGACGATCCCATTGGCTGCAGTGACGTCCGTCGCCGCAGTGGTGTTTTCACCAAGACTAGGAGTGCAGCTTCTGGTACTCCTGCTGTTACTGCCACTTCTTGTAGGTCCATGTCCCGCTCTTTGAGTGCAGCAGGCTTTGCGGGGATGACTGTGTCAGAAGCGACTGCTTCTGCAGCAATGCTCGCGGCAAGGGGAGCTGCGCCAGGCAAAGCAGCTGGTGCTAGCACGAACCTGACGCTTACTCTGCCTGGTGCTAGCTCTTCACAAGCAACGGGAGCGTCAGGGATTCCGGATTCCACTACCCCAACTGGTCCCACTTTCACGTTCGGGCCTACTGATGCAGATGATGTGTCGCCCACATCTGCTGCTGCTCCCTCAGACACATCCTCTTCATCCTTGTCTGCATCTGCTCACGGGCTCACGTGCTCCGGCAGTTCACCGCCGCATGTTGCCGAGTCGCCCTTTTCCCGCATTTCCACGTTTCTCATGCGGCGATTCGTGTCCCCGTTCCCGATTGTAAGATCTTCCACTTATCCCGTGCTCAGATAGCGGTCAGGAGGACTCAGGAGGAAGCAGCACATCCGCTGTTTCTATTGCCTGACTCAGTCTGAATCTCCCTCATTTAACATTCTTGCTTCCTATAGAAGCTCTTCTGCAATTTATCGAACCCTTAGCTGGTCACGTGCTCTCTTGACGTCCAGTCCATTCTTTCAGCATGTATCACTTGTATTCTAATGTGAATGGGATTACCATATCATTTTCCATGTTTAATTAGTCCATGGTAGAGTATTGAAGCTCGGAACAGTATTGACACTATTAGAACTCTGACATTTTCAAAGAGCCCCATAATGACATTCCCACTGCTATCTCTTACGGTATGAATAATTGTTTTCTATTGTTGACAGGGTCTTAAAGAATCGTCAGGTGTACGACTAGACGTACTCATTGTGGCTTGCCGAAGTTGCTCTTTCGGCGTACTTCTCCTGCACGAAAAGTGGACTTGTATGCTCAAGGATTTCTGAGCGCTCAGCCATGGCGAAATCTTTGGACGCCACGTCACTGCTACTAAAGCATTGCCATGCATGGCCGAGGCAACTGCTTCCGTGAAGTTCGCTTCGAAACTTGCTGTCGTCGTGGCGTCGAAACGCAGCTGAATTGTATCAATCTCCGCGCATATCAGCTCCCGGGGACGAACACGCGAACGTCATGTCTCGGCGAGGGAGTTGCAGGGGAGGGCTCAAAGCACGGCACGGAGGGTTGAACTTTCATCAGCCGGCGAGATTCGTAGCGACGAACGGCTGCATAACCGTCGCGACGACAGCTTCTCAGATTCGCTGTCATCGTTGCTTCAGCGATCAGTAGACTCCATAGGAGCGGGAGAATGGCGGCAGCAGGAGCGATAGCGGGAGCCGTGGTGGCCGCTGTGATCGTGTCGTCGGCAATAGGCGCTCTGGTGTACCGGCTATGGCCGAGAAACCCTGTCGTCAAGGTGCATCCGCACTCACTGCTCTCTTTTCCCCCTTCTATTCCTTGTCGGCGCGTACTTGATTTCGCTTGTCAAGGCTGTTTTATCTCGGATTCGGGCAAGCGTGACGACGAGTGTAATCGATGTAATGGTCCGTTCAAGAGTTCGAGCGTGTGTGTGTTCTGTCCTTACCGTAATGGTGCATGCCACGTTGGAATGAGCGCAGGTGGAAGAGATGAGCATCACTGGCGTCAGTGTGCATGTCACCACAAAGGTGTATTCATACCCCCCCCACCCGCTAGCTGTCTGTATAGGTATCCTAGAGCCGTTTTTAGAGAACCGATTCTGAATGTCCTTCAGATCGTTGCCGTTCCCCGTTCCCCCCTCACCGTTTCTTCTGCCACCCGTCCTGCCCTGCGCTATCGTTCCACTTACCTCCTATATATCTACCTTGTTTCTGCCTTAACATCGCCTCGCATCCGGACCGTCTTCTGTCACACTCAACGTCTTTCCATTCCCTTACTCTTTCTCCCCCCTCCCCTCTCCCCTCACCCCCCTTTTCCGCCCCCCTTTCCCACCTCCTCCCTCCCACTCTCCAATCCCCGTCTCCTCTCTCCCTCTCCCCTCTCAGCTGGGCCTGCCTGTGCTGTCCCTAGACCTATCTCTGCGTCTGCGCGTGCGTGCACAAAACCCCAACTACATGCCCGTTTCCTACTCCGCTGCCACCGTCGCCATCTATTACGACGGCACTAAGGTCAGGAGAACCCAGCATGCTGCTTGGGCCGAGAGTGGGAGGGGAGGGAGAAGGGAAGGGGAGGGGAGGGGGAAGAGGGAGAGGAGAGAGGGCAGTGGGCGATGCGGTGGTAAGATGGGGAAGGGGAGGGCCGGAGGGTTTGTGTTTGTTGTTTTATATGACCAGCCAACTAGCAGGTCTGTGGCAGAGCTAGTGCTGTGCGGTGCGGCTGTAACAATGTCCTGCGTTTTGCTGGATTGATGTCTTGACTTGATGAGATGGTGGTGACGTTGTCGTCCTGAGATGGTGATTTGTGGTTTGAGTGCGAGTGCCCAGCGGAGAAGTTGACTGCGGTGGATAAAGGTGGGGTAGCTGTCTACTTAATATTTTCGCCAAATGCTATGCTGTTGTGCGATGGTGTGTGGTGGTGTGCTTGTGATGGAGTTGGAGATGCGCATGTGATGTGGAGTGGCATGGGGAGCACAGATAGGCGAGAGTAACATGGGAGCGGGGCAGTTCATGCCTCGGGACAACAAGGTCATGGAGCTATCTGCCACCATGAGTGTAAGTCTTTGTTCCCCTGTCCTCATCCCGCCCTCCCCCCTTTCCTTTTCTCCCCTTTCCCCCACCCCACCCCTTCCTCCTCCGTCTCCCTTGCTTTACCCCCCTACCTTGTTTTCTAGCATTCACGCCCTTGCATTGTCAATTCGTGAAGATTTCCTCTAAATGTTTCAAATGGTTTTCTCTTGATTCTAAAATGAATACCAGATGCATCTCAGGTAATGCACAGATAATGCTCTTTCCTTCAATCCTCAGTGATTATGTTACTTGCTTCACTGTTCATGCAATTTATCGGAATACCCCCACCATACTTCTAACCCTCTCCACCATCCCCTCCCCCGGCTACCATCCCTCCCTCCCTCCATCGCTCCCTCTCTCCCTCTCTCCCTCACACATTTCCTCCCCCAGGCACTGGAGCTAGCAGCAGCCAATGCGCGGCGGCTGCTGAGCGACATGGTGAACCGCAGTGTCACAGTGGAGGCTGTCACCTCTTTCCCGGCCGTTGCCCATGGGCTTTGTGACTCCCTGCACCCCCGCCTTCTGGTCAGTGCGTAGTATACATGTTTCCCAGTCAGTGTCTGGATTAGAAGCGTCCTGGTCAGTGCATGCATGATGGGGAATGCACGTATGGGTTCTCCATATGCAATGACATTCTAATGTGCGGCGTTGCACAGGTGGAGCTTAGGAACGAGGTGACGTTCGACCCGCTCACTCTGGGCGTTCAAGAGAGCGATTCCTTTTCTGCTATGCAGCTGCTGCAACCTATCACTCACCCCAGTTGAAAGCCTTTGCTCGGCATACAAGCCAAGGGTATGAACATGTCTGATGTAGGTAATTCATGTATGGTAGGTAACACATTTACATCTACATGACCTGGGTAGTGCCAAACCGATTTGTGCAGAAGTTCTGCAAGTGTACATACTGTAGAAAGTAGCGGACTTGTTATCTATGTTAATGTAAAATTGCTTTGTTAACAAATCCTCGGCAGTGGTAATTCATTCACTAGTCGGTTCAAGTGTCAAGTGGAGGTGCTCTGATTTTCCCAGAATCACGAAGCACTCAACATGCGGGAAAATGCTCCCAAGGATTTTCCACCTCATGCCTCTTTCACTTTTCGTATCTGCATTCTGCTGCAGTGCACGCTGATTCCGTTTCAGCGCCTTCCATTCCGTCCCCCATGGAGCCCGCGCTTCTCTCCGCCATCTCCGCCATTCACGCCGCGCCAGCGCGCGCCGTGCTTGCCGTCACGGGAGGCGCGTCGCAGGTAGGTTGCTTCATCCCACGCGCACCCCTCTAATGTTTCTGGCGATGCCCTTGCCGTGCTACTGCGTTGTCAATTAAAAACGGCCTCGTTTGCGCCTCCGTTTCCGCCAATTCCGTTTTCTACCCTTGCCGCTCGGATCGTGACGCTTGCCCCGCGAATGGCGCCTATGGCGCTTGCTGTTGTACCGCCAATTGCGTCAATCTCCTCTGTCAACAAGCAACACTCTTCCCCAACTCACCGCCCCAATGTCTTGCCCCCATCCCCGATATAAGGCGGTGGGATGGCTAGTAGCGGTTCCCGGCGCGTCGCAGACGGTCTTGGAGGCTGTGCTGCCGTACTCGCAGCGCGCGTTCGACCAATACGTGGACGCCACGTGGCACGCGCAGGCGCAGGTGCAGCTGGCTGCGCAGGCGCGGGGGGAAGACGGGCGGGCGGAGGGGAGTGCGGAGGGGGGATGGGGAGCGGAAGGAGAGGAGGGAAAGGGTGTGGATGGATCGCGCAAGCAGCAAACGAGACAGGTGGGGTGAGCGGTGGAGGCGGGAGGTGGGTAGTGAAGAAGGTTTGGAGGTTATTTTTGGTGGTTTGTGGAGATGCGGCTGGGTGGAGAGGGGTGCTGCGGAAGAGGTGGTATGGTGGGGTTGTAAACGCCACACACGCTGGCCTCACATAAGGCGTGATGTGATGTGATGTGATGTGATGTGATGTGATGTGATGTGATGTGATGTGATGTGATGTGGCATCGTACTTGAGTCTGTAGTCACATTGCGTTAGAATCACGATGCATAACGTCCACTTTCCCTTCCCTCTCCCCTCATGTACCTCATGTTTCCGCCCCTCGTGCCAGCAATATGTGAGCAGAGCAGCAGCACAGCAGCTCGCCTTCGCTTCTTACAATCGAGCTCTCTCCCTTGCTCCCATCGGTATGCCTTTTCCCTTCAGTACGAGGTGACTTTTCAGTCGACTCAAAAGTCAACTCTCCCTTTCTCCCATCGGTATGCCTTTTCCCTTCACTTCCCTTGCTTTCTCCCATCGCCATACTTGCTATGCTCCCCCCTTCTTCCCACCCCACATTAAGGTACTTTCTCCCATTGCTATCCGTAACTCCCTTGCTGTCGTTACCTTTTACCCTCCCTCTCTCCTCCCGTCCCTTCTCCCCTGCCCCGCTCCCCCCACTCCCTCCGCAGCCTCCCTCTCGCCCTCGCCCCCTCTCTCCCTTTCTAGTTTTGAGACGTCTCAAATCTCAAAACCTCTGAGACGTCTCAAAACTCCCCAGCCTCCCTCTCGCCCTCGCCCCCTCTCTCCCTTTCTCATCTGTTGTCCCACCACCCCCCACTCCCCCCCAATGGCCCCACCAGCACAGCCGGTGGTGGGGGTGGGTTGCACGTGTGCGCTGGTGTCCAGTGCTCCAAAGAGAGGCGCACACAGGTGGGCCGGGCATGTGAGGAATGGGGGGGCCATGGGGGCATGGGACATATGGGGTATGTGGGGCATGTGGGGTATGTGGGGGATGTGGGGCATGTGGGGTATGTGGGGCATGTGGGGCATGTGGGGCATGGGTGGGGGCATGAGGCGCGATGGGTTTGTTGTTGGCACGTGTGCACTCGTATGCGTCCCATTCCTAAGAAGGGTGCTCGCAGATAGGCCGAGGCCAGGTGAAGGGTGCTGCCAGCCACCTCGTGCATGCGCCATGCTTTTGAGTGTTGAGGTGGCGCGGCAGCACTCACAAGCAGGGTGCTGCCAGCCACCTCGTGCATGCGCCATGCTTTTGAGTGTTGAGGTGGCGCGGCAGCACTCACAAGCAGGGTGCTGCCAGCCACCTCGTGCATGCGCCATGCTTTTGAGTGTTGAGGTGGCGCGGCAGCACTCACAAGCAGGGTGCTGCCAGCCACCTCGTGCATGCGCCATGCTTTTGAGTGTTGAGGTGGCGCGGCAGCACTCACAAGCAGGGTGCTGCCTGCCACCTTGTGCATGCGCCATGCTTTTGAGTGTTGAGGTGGCGCGGCAGCACTCACAAGCAGGGTGCTGCCTGCCACCTTGTGCATGCGCCATGCAAGCAGCATGGTGCCGGGGGCAACGCAAGGCGCATGCGGGACGGTGCATGGGACATGAGGCATTATGGTGGGGGGTAGGTTATGGGCCGTGACCATGCAATACGGGACATGGGGCATGGGACAGTGTCGGAGAACCACCTCATCCTTGCAACCTGCTCTTCCTCTTGTCACTCCCTTGCCTTCCTTCTCCTTACGTTGTTGATCAGCCTCAGCCACCACCTTATGAAAGAGTTTCCTCCCTCACCCCGTAGGTCCTCCCATAGTGGCGTGCCACCGGATGCTAGATCTGAGGTAACAGCTTTCCACTAATATGAGAGAATAACAGGAGAAAAGCAACGAGAGGGTGTTTGGTACTGAATTTACCTGAACCTGGCTCAGTCGCACACTTCTCGATGTGCGCCTCGAGCCAGGCCCAGTTGCTTCAGATTGGTTCGTTAGATTCCCACCCCTCGATGTTTCCTCTAACCCTTCCCAACAACTTCGCCTCAACCCCCCATACTCCCCAGCAACTCACCCACAAATTGTAATCATACAAAGACTACACCTGAATCTACACTTGCATCTACACCCGCGCACCAACTGTTATCGCATATGCACGAAGTGCATATTCGGTGACAACAGGGCTTTGGGCCATGCCCCTTGCGGAGATCATGAGGTCTACTCTACTTTCATGTGGACATGTGTACCTGTGTTCGATAGGGTGGTCCGGTGGGGCGCCCACCGTGGGCTGTTGTCGTTGTGATCGTGGAATAAAAGGATTCACGATCTATCTCAACTCAGCCCAAAGGCTTTCATTCCACAACAGCCCACAGTTTCATCTCATGTCATCTCATGTCATGTCATCTCATGTCATCTCATGTCATCTCATGTCATGTCATCTCATGTCATGTCAGCCCGGTCCCCTCCATCTTTCCTCCATGGCAGGTGTCACATAGCAGCGCGCTCGCAAGGCATGCTGTGGGAGTACTCTCTGCTGCTCTCCAAGGTGAGTGAGTGAGTGAGTCCCCCTTTCCCTGTCCTGCTGAGCTGACTTTTGAGTCGACTTAAAGTCGACAAGGCATGCTGTGGGAATACTCTCTGCTGCTCTCCAAGGTGAGTGAGTGAGTGAGTCCCCCTTTCCCTGTCCTGCTGAGCTGACTTTTGAGTCGACTTAAAGTCGACAAGGCATGCTCTGGGAATACTCTCTGCTGCTCTCCAAGGTGAGTGTGCATGCCCCTGCTCCCTCCCTGTTGTCGTCGGGGGCCCCCAACACAACCTCCATAGCGATGTGCTCTCAAGGCATGCTGTGGCATGCTGTGGCATGCTGTGGCAAGGTGAGTGAGTGAGTCCCCCTTTCCCTGTTCTGCTGAGCTGACTTTTGAGTCGACTCAAAGTCGACAAGGCATGCTGTGGGGGAATACTCTCTGCTTGCACCTACCCAACGTGAGTGACCCCCCCTTCCTGTCCTCTTGACTTTAACGTCGAATCAAAGTCAACAGCAAGGCATGCTGTGAGAATATTGTTCACACCTATTCAAGAGGGCCCGCCTCCTCCCTGCCGTGTCTACAAGATACCGTAACCCTCGAGTTTTGAAACTTCTAATTAGGAAACTTTTATCATGTATCAGCAAGCCACAGACGCCTCCTTTGCTCTCCCTCTCCACACGCCATCACTGCCGGCTTCCCCACACGCATTTTGAGTCGACTCACAACACTCCCCACACGCATTCCCCTTCCCTGTCCCCACATTCCCGCCTTTCTCTCCCTCGTCACTCCCTCTTCCCCAGCCCCTCCTCTGCTTCCCTCGCTCCTGCACGGGCCTTGTTCGCCCTCCCACTCATTCCCCTCACCTCTTCACCCACACGCCCCCCCTTACCCACAGGAGGCCCTGCGGTCCCGGCAGCAAGAGGATGACATGGCCAGTCGCCTCCTGATCCGCGTATGTGCTGATACGTGATGTGTGATGTGTGATGTGACTGATGCAGTGTCTCACCTCACCTGCTTGGTCTCGCACTCAGCTTTTTCCTCGACTATGTAGGAGATTTTTTAGAATTCTCCAAAGTCGCCGATTGATCCACGCATGTGCGGTTAGAATATGATTTACTATCCTATGATATGATATTATATGATTTGATAGGATATGATGTGATATGAGAAGATGTGATATGATCTGGTCGCGTGCCAGCTGCTCCACCGTCATCTCAGATAAGTTTTGAGGCGCCTCAAGGGTCATTGTAAATAATTCACTGACATGACAGTATGTAGTAGCTGTCTCTGAAGATTTTTTGAGAATTCTAAAAACATCTGTCTCTGGAGACAGCATTCCATCGTCTCCACACTCTCCCCCTCCCCCCGTCCCCCTTTTCCCCCCCTCCCCTCCAGGTGCTAGCAGCGAGTATGGGGCTACCAGCAGTGGCGGGGGGCGTGGCGGTGGGGGAGGGGCGGGGGGACGGCGTGGAGGAGGCAGCAGCAGTGGTGGGGCAGGGGGAGCAGATACAGGAGGTGCTGGATGGCCGAGTGGCCTATGCTGTCTTTGGTACGGAACCTTCTTGTGTGCACAGTGCACTGTGATGTGTGCTGCTTACCCCTTGCTGATTGCTATCCCAGCTCTGCTTGCTTTGGATGCACGAGGTGCTGGATGGCCCAGTGCCCTACGCTGTTTTTGGTACGGACCCTTGCTTGAGTGCGTGCGTGCGTGCGTGCGTGCTTGCTTACCTCTTGCTGAGTGGTCACCTCGCCCTTCCCACTTGGGATACACGAGGTGCTGGATGGCCCAGTGCCCTACGCTGTTTTTGGTGAGAAACCATTGCCCATCAGGACTGCTCTTCCTGCGTTTGCTTGCTTGCTTGCTTGCTGAACACTCAGTGAGTAGTCACCTTTCTTTGACTGCTTTGGATAAGCGTCGTGTGCTCTTGTTAAGTACGAGTGTCAGTCAGATGGTTCTTGCTGTGAGGTTCTTTTTCTGTCTCTTATTGGCAGACTTACTTAGTTTCCCCTGTATGTCTGATTCAAGTGTCTCTTTCACACCCACCTTGCCCACTCCCCTCTACTTTCCCACCTGTTTCCCCACTCCTTCCCCTCCTCCCCTCCCCTCCTTCACTTCCCTCCTCTTCACGTTTCAGCCGCCCCTACCTGGGCGAGCAGGTGGGGAGCAGCAGGGGAGGGGCGCAGAGTGGTGCTGTGCGGTTCCTTCAACCCACTGCACCAAGGACACACTGACCTCATGGCAGCTGCTCTACTGTGAGTGCAAATAGAGTATAGTGGTATAGGTGAATTGTGTAAATCATGTGTTCAAAGAAATCCGAGTGAATCCAGTAAAAAATGGGAGATTTTAGTAAATCTAGTAGATTGGGTGGTTCGAATAATCGACTAGCACATTGAGTAATTAGAGTTATGTGAATAATTTGAATCGAGGCAGGGTAAATCAAATGAAGCAGGTGATTCAAGAAATTCGATAATTTAAAATATGTGGAGTACCGTGCTATTCAAGTAAATTGAGTGGTTTAAGTAATTTGAGTAAATCCAGTAAATTGAGCATTCAAGTAGGTTCTTTGAATCGAGTAATTTAAACCACTCAAGTTTTTTTTTTACCCTTTTATATTAAAAAGCAAGGCGTGCATCAGATTTTAAGTAAATCGAGCAATTCAAGTAATTCGAGTCATTCGAGGAAATTCAGTATTTTGACTAAACCGAGTAATCCAGTAAGTCGAGTAACTCAGCCAAATTAAGTAAATTGAGCAGAACGATTAAATCAAGTAATCAATTTCGAGTAAATCGACTAACTGAAGTGGATCGGGTAAGTTGAGTAATTTGAATTAGTCGCTAATTTAAGTAAAATGAGTCACTCGAGTGAATCGATTTCTTTTAGCAAGTAGATCTTTTCAGAGTACTTCAAGCATTTGGAGTCTAGAACCCCTCCCAGCTGAACCTTCTTCAATCACCCCGTGCATGTGCAGGGAGGTACCAGGCGGAGTGCCATGCTACGAGTTTTGAGGCGCCTCAAAAGTCGTCTCAGTTTTTGAGGCGCCTTAAAAAGAGTCAGCTGAAGCTTCTTCTTCAATCACCCCATGCATGTGCAGGGAGGTACCAGGCGGAGTCCCATGCTACGAGATGGCGGCATGGAACGCGGACAAGGGAGCCATTCCCGTGGAGGAGGTGGAGAGGCGAGTCCACCAATTCACTGCCCATGGTATGCAATGCACATATGCTCATACGCACATATCGCATGTACTGCACATGGTATGTTTACACCTGTTTTTGAGGCGCCTAGAAAAAATACATACAGCGTTCTCAAAGCACGTCAACTTACTCCTGACTTTTGAGTCGACTCACAAGAAAGCACGTCAACTTACTCCTGACTTTTGAGTCGACTCACAAGAAAGCACGTCAACTTACTCCTGACTTTTGAGTCGACTCACAAGAAAGCACGTCAACTTACTCCTGACTTTTGAGTCGACTCACAAGAAAGCACGTCAACTTACTCCGTTCTCTCTCCTCTCACCTTCTCTCACCCCCCACCCCACCATCCCCTTCTCCCCCCGCCCTCTCTCACCCTCCCACCCTCGCCTTCTCCCCTCCCGCCCCCTCCCCCCAGGTCACATGGTGGTGGTAACCCGCCTGCCTCTATTTGCCAGCAAGGCCTCTCTCTTCCCGCACTCCACCTTTGTGATTGGATACGACACTGCTGTTCGCTTGCTCGACGTGAGTTCTGCTCAGTGCTAGGAGCTTTCAGTGCTACGAGCTTTCGGCGCTAGGAGCTTTCAGTGCTAGGAGCTTTCAGTGCTAGGTGCTTTCAGTGCTAGGAGCTTTCAGTGCTAGGTGCTTTCAGTGCTAGGAGCTTTCAGTGCTAGGTGCTTTCAGTGCTAGGAGCTTTCAGTGCTAGGAGCTTTCAGTGCTAGGAGCTTTCAGTGCTAGGAGCTTTCAGTGCTAGGAGCTTTCAGTGCTAGGAGCTTTCAGTGCTAGGTGCTTTCAGTGCTAGGAGCTTTCAGTGCTAGGAGCTTTCAGTCTCCGAGCAGCCTTCCCCCTCTATACCAGCCTCTCGGCTTCTCCCACTTCCTTCACCCTTCCCCCTCACCCTCACCCTTCATCCTTCACCCCTCCACGCTTCGGCCTTCACCCTTCACCCCCCACTAGGCAAAGTACTACGGCAACAGCCACAGCAGCATGATGAATGTGCTGCACGGTATTGCCCGCTCCGGATGTGACTTCCTTGTCGCTGGCAGGCTCGTTGGCTCCACATTTCAGGTACGCTCGTGCGCTACTTCCTCCTTGCAGGTACGCCTGTGATCTCTTACTGCTCGCTCGCTGCACGGCCTGCCCGCTCCGGCTGTGACTTCCTTGTCGCTGGCAGGCTCATTGGCTCCACATTTCAGGTACTCCCGTGATCCCCTACTGCTTGCGGCACGGCTTTGCCCGCTCTGGCCGTGACTTCCTTGTCGCTGGCAGGCTCGTTGGCTCCACGTTTCAGGTACACCCGTGATCCCTTACTGCTTGCGGCACGGCTTTGCCCGCTCTGGCCGTGACTTCCTTGTCGCTGGCAGGCTCGTTGGCTCCACGTTTCAGGTACTCCTGAAGACTTGACACCTTGTTGCAGTAACTGCTGCTTCAGCTAAAATTGCTTGCCAGATAATTCTCAGACTATTCTACGTGTCAACCCTTTCACCTCGTGGTGAAAGTCCTTATGAGACGTCTTAAAAGATAGATAATGCGCTGTGTCAACCCTTTCACCTGTTCGTCAATGTCCCTTTTTATGAAGCATGTAGTAATGTGTTCCCACCACTCTCCCAGACTCCCCTTCCACCCTTCCTCTCTCCCATTTCACCCCTACCTCTCTCCTTCCCCTCCCTCCCTCCCTCCCTCACGCTCCCAGTCAGCTGAGAGTCTGGTCGTGCCAGAGTCCGTACGTGCTATCTTCCGAGGCATTCCCATTCTTCAGGTGCCTCAAAAATAGACCCTCCCCTCCCTCTTTCCGTGCCCTCCCTTCGCGCCCTACCTCTCTCCTTGCCCTCCCTTGGCGCCCTACCTCCTCCCTCCCCCAGTCATCTGAGAGTCTGGTCGTGCCAGAGTCCGTACGTGCGATCTTCCGAGGCATTCCCGAGGCAAGCTTCCGAGCAGACATCTCCTCCACTGAGATCCGCGCTCAACTAGCCGCACAGCAGGCAGCTGCTGCTGCTGCTGCTACTCGTGCTGATGGTGCGGATGCTGGTGCTTCTTGAAGCTGTTGCTGAGCCGAGGCAAGCTTCCGAGCAGACATCTCCTCCACTGAGATCCGCGCTCAACTAGCCGCACAGCAGGCAGCTGCTGCTACTGTTGATGATGCTGGTGCTTCTTGAAGCGCCTGGTAGGGATGCCTGCCTGTAGGTCATACTGGTGGTTGCTTAGGCAAGCTTCCGAGCAGACATCTGAGGTCATCTGAGGTCATCTCCTCCACTGAAATCTGTGCTCAGGTCGCTGCTCGCCAGGCTGCTGCTGCCACCGCCACCGCCGCTAGTGATGACGCAGGTGCTTCTGAAAGCTCGTGGTAGGGATGGCTGCTGGTCGTATTGGTTGAGGATGATGCTGGTTGCAGTTGCGGCGCGGCTGATGCGGTAGGCATGAAAAGCTTGCCCTGCATCAAAGTTCATGAGTCATGTAGCAGCACAGGAAAGTGGCTTGGAGATGTCTTGATTAGTCTATACATCTAGAATATATGTATTGCTATGAGTGAGATAAGATAAGCCTTCATTTATCGACTAGGGCTGAGGGTATGTAAACTGTGAAACTTGGTCGGAGTGGAGTGGAGTGGAGCTACCACACATTATGTAGCATGCACAGCAGGCCTCCCATGTTTCAATACAGACAATCATAATGCAGCATTCAGCTTCCAGCAGAGATTTTTTACCGTGTTTTTTACAAACAGCATCATCATGCAACAGAGGAAAGAAAAAGATTAGACACTGGAGCTGTTGGGCTGAGTGCCCCTTAGGATCTTTGGTAGGGTTAAACTCTGGGTAGAGTGATGTAGTAGCGGAAGCGTTTTAAATGAAGTCCTTGAACCACCTTGCGCTGGTATGTGAGGGCAAAGTAAGTTGATTAAAACAAGCAAGTACAAAGGTTTATATAAGAGTACAAAGAATACGAAGAGATATAATTAAACTGTTTTACTGTTGCGGTTCGATACAGTGCGACTCGGGCAACTGCTCAATGTCGAGTCAGTTGTGTGTCCTTGCTGTCGCGCTGCATTTGTCAAGTCAAAGGTCGCTGACCTTTGACTTTCGCGTAACCTCCAGCGGTTACTTCAACCTCCGAGGGTTGACTCGCTGGTGCCTCGATATGCTCTGCTTCGCTTGTGCCTTGGTGTTTCGACACGACAGAGGCGCTTAAGATTGTTTGTTCCTAACACTCCCCTTCGCTTCTGGAGTGTCGCTGCTGGTGACGTGGCTTTGTCCAGTCAGCAGCATGCAGTACTCGAACTTCTGTTTTCCGAGCTTCTTGGTCAAGTAGTCAGCTGCCATCTCGGACGTGGGACAGTAGGATAGTTCAAGTCTCCCCTTCTCAATCTCGTCTTTCACGAAGAAATATCGCAGAGCGATATGCTTCGTTCTGTTCGCGAATCCATTTTTGTTGGCGATGCGAATTGCAGATTGGTTGTCGCAGAACAGAGTGAAGTTGGGTAACTCGGCTAACTTCGCTTCTTCCAGCAGCTCGCGAAGATAGAGTCCTTCCTTGGTGGCTGAGCAGAGTGCAATATATTCTGCTTCAGCTGACGAGAGAGCAATTAATTCCTGCTTGCTCGATTGCCAGGAGATCGGTCCGATAGGTTCGAGGCGGTAGATGTAGCCGGTGCGGGAGCGCCTGTTGTCGGAGTCGCCAGCGTGATCAGCGTCGACGTAGCCGATTAATTTAGTCGGTGTAGTTGTGTTCTTGTAGTAAGTTAGGCCGATCGTTGAGGTACTGACGAAGTAGTGGAGAGCGCGGTCGAGCTCCGCCAGGTGTTCTGCTTCAGGCTTCTTGAGGTAGGTGGCGAGCTGGCTTGCGGAGTATGAGAGGTCGGGGCGGCAGGTGACAGCTGCGAAGAGAAGGCATCCTAGCTTTCTCTGGTAGTCGCGTATCCCGGCGGATTTGAGTAGAGAGGATCCTTCCTTGTGGTTTCCTGTCGCGTAGCGGTAGGGCGTAGAGATGGTGGTAGGTGTGAGCGCGAAGCGTTTGGCGATGGTGTCGGCGTACTTAGCGGCGTTGAGGTAGATCGCGCCTTCTTCTTCCCGAATGTTCAAGCCGAGGTACTGTGTGACGGTAGAGGAGACCGTGAGTGTGAGGTCCCTCTGTAGCTCCCCTTCGAACCAGGTGGTGATGTCGTCAGTGGAGCCGATGTAGAGTAGGTCGTCTACGTAGACGATCAGCAGAATGTAGTCGGTGTCTTTAGTGAGTCGGTACATTCCTTGGTCGTGAGGTAGTTGGCGGAATCCGATGCGAATGAGGCGAGCGTGTAGGTACTGTTGCCATAGCCGCGGAGCTTGCTTGATCCCGTAAAGTGATTTCAGCAGTTGACAGACTTGGTTAGGTTCCCCGTTGGTACCGTGTGGGAGCTCGACGAAGATTTCCACGTCGACAGGTGCGTAGAGGAACGCGTTGGCGACATCGATTTGCCGTAGCTTCCTTTTCTTCATGGCGGCGATCGCGAGGAGGATTCGAAGTGAGGTATGTCGGCTAACCGGGGCGAATGTCTCGGTGAAGTCCCGTCCGTGCTCCTGATCGAATCCACGCACAACCCAGCGTGCTTTGAACTTCTCAATTGTGCCGTCTGCTTTTGTTTTAACGCGGAAGACCCATTTCCCGGTGAGAATGGTCTTGTTCCTTGCCACGCTGATGGGGACAACTTTCCAGGTGTTCCGTTCCTCCAGCGCCTTTAACTCTCTGTCCATGGCTTCACGCCATTTTTCCCAGTGTTCCCCCCCCAGAGCCTGCTGAACCGTCGCAGGCTCCTTAGGAAGAGTGTTGCCGTGGACTGCGGTGACGAGTCCGAGAATCTGCAGTCCAGTCTGTGAGTAGCGGGGAAGAGTTGCATCCTCGGGATAAGCTGCTTCATCTCCCGCTTCTGGATCAGGTATGAAATTCGGTTCTACTCGTTCTGCTTCGTTGGTGTTGACTGTCGCAGGTGTTACGTAACCGTTGTCGGCGAAGTAGTAGAAGGTTTCGGCGTTGACACTTTCGCGAGGGTTATCTTCGTCCATGGGGACGTCGACGGAGCAGAACGGAAGGGGTCCAGCTTCTTCTGATGCGTTGGCCACATTCTGCTCGTCCCAGTCAGCTTCGTCTGCTGCCGAGGCGAAGGCTCGGTCACCACGAAAACCACCTGTGGGATCTTGGTCCTCTTGCAGGTTGGCAAGGTATGTCTGGAGCGTGAGTCGTTCGTAGAAAATGACGTCGCGTGCTGCTACTGTTTCCTTGGAGTGGACGTCAAAGATTTTCCACGCGTTGTAGTTCTTTTCGATGCTGAGGTGTAGTCCCCACTGTGCGCGTTGTGAAAATCGGCCCGCTCGTGCTGCTGGGGGTCGGTACTGTACCATGCATCCGAAAACTCGTAACATTTTTGTGCTGCCCTGTTTTCCTGTCCACAGCAGATGCGGTGATGCGTTGTTCGGTAGTGATGAAGATGAGAGCAAGTTGTGCAGCATGACAGCGTGGTCCATCGCGTCAGGCCACTGGTGGTTGGGTAGCCGCATGCCACGCAACAGTTTGCGCATGCTGTTCTGCAGAGTCCTGTTCATTCTTTCTGCTACACCTTGCTGCTGATGGGCGTAGGGAAGAGAGAGGAGCTGCTTGATTCCCCTTTCCGCCAGGTACTGCTTGAATCGCTGAGAGGTGTATTCTCCTCCTCCGTCAGACTGGAAGCTTTTCAGCTTTACGCCCGACTCTCTTTCTGCTACTGGTAGCCAAGCAGCGAATGCTTCGAGGACCATGTCGCGGCTGGGTAGGTTTAGATGCCAGACGTAACGGGTGGCGGCGTCGATGAAGGTGATTGTGTAGTTGTATATTACTTGTCCTGGTTCCCGATTGTACAGGATGTCGCTATACACCTTTTCGAGTGGTGCGTACGCGGGTGTGCTCGGGTTGTGATGAGGAGTGAACGGCCGATGTGGTAAGTCGGCTTCGGGGCAGGTAAGACATGTTCCTCGTGCCCGTTGAAGTTCTCTGCCGTCGAGTAGTAGTAACGAGTCCTTGTCAAGGACTCCTGCTCTTATTGTGTTGTTTAACACAGTGTTGCTTGGGTGTCCCATGCGTGCGTGCCAGATGTCTTCGGAGGCGCGGTGTCCGGGTGAGCGTCGATACGCGTCGGAGTTGGAGTAGAAGCTGGCGGTGAAGTTTGCGCTTCTATGGACTTCCCGTTGAGCCGGATTCAGCTGCTGTGCGGGTGTTGGTGGTGCTTCGTCAACGAGGAGTGGTGTCGTTGTTGCTGCTACTGTTGTTGTTCCTGCTACTGCCGATGATGTCTCTGCTGCTGCCGATGATGTCTCTGCTGCTGCCGATGTTGTCTCTGCTGCTGCCGATGTTGTCTCTGCTGCTGCCGATGTTGTCTCTGCTGCTGCCGATGTTGTCTCTGTTGCTGCCGATGTTGTCTCTGCTGCTGCCGAATGTTGTATTGTTACTAACGCACGTGTTCGTTCTGCTTCAGGAATGGTATGTGAATACCAAAAGCCTTCCGGACTGAAGTCGGGGTCGAGATCCGGCGGGTGCGTCCAAGATGTGAAGGTGACGATCCCGTCACTGTCTGCGGTGCCCAGGTCTGGGACGAAATCGAGAACGAAGACATTGTTCTTCAGGACCGCCTTTCCGATGTAGAGGCCGCCCTTCCCGTGGTACAGCTTGAACTCCTGGGTGGTACTGTCGGCTTCCAGATGTATGCCTTTCGCCATCAACTGACTGACGCTCAGTAAGTTGTAGCCAAGTCCTTCTGCTATTAGGACTTTGGACATTTGCAGTATGACATTCGTCTCTCGTGACTGAAGTTGCACTACTCCTTGTCGTCGTGTGCGCAGGTTCTGATTATTGGCGACAGTGATGACGACTTCTCGTTGAAGTTGGTGCTCGCGTTGAACAAAACGTCTTGAAGAGCACATATGTTGTCCGCAGCAACTGTCCAAGAACCATGTATCCTTCCCGGACGGCTCGCTTTGAGCGATGGCGGCGTACGTCGGGTTCGGTTGAAGTGACTCGCGGCGAGGCGTGCTGTTGTCGAGTTGTTCTTCTGGTGAGTAATATGGTGGTGACTCAGTTACGCAGGAGTCACTCAGCCTTGCCATGCAGCTGACGATGTTTCTTGTTCCTTTCGCAGGTTGTCCCGTCGATGTTGTTGAGACTTGTACTGAAGTTGTCGGATTTGCTTGCGTTGAGGCGACTTGACTGCTTGAAGGGCGAAGTTGGCGTTGCGGCGACGTTGACTGTTGTCGATTCGGGCAGTGCGTACGAGGATGCCCTGAAGTCTTGCAGAGGTGGCAGAACGGAGGTACGATTTTCGGTCGATTGTTGTTGTTGTTGTGGCGCCGTTGAGTGTGAAACGCGAATTCGGGCACTGATACCTTTCTCTTGTGTCGTTCTTCTTGCAGGTCCATGTCTTGCTGCTCGGCGTGGATTTCGGCGCAAAGTGCTGCTTCAGAAATTTTCCCGTGGGCTCGTAGTATGGCGCGAGTGGAGCGCCAGTGAGGACCAAGACCGCCGATGACAACCGTGACGAAGGCGTCCTCTGAAATCGATCCTCCACATCGAAGAAGCTTGTCGCGCAGCTCGCGGCAGCGACTGATATACGCCATTCCCTTCTCGCCTGGTTTCATTTCGATTGTTGTCAGCTGCGCCATTAACCGACTTTGGTTTACGCTGTCTGTTGCTTGATACAGGCTCTTCAAGTGATTGTACGCGAGCTCCGCGGAGTTGCCGTAGCCTCGGTAAGACCGTATGTTTTGTTGTTGAGTTGGAGTGATGTTCCTCAGTAGTATCGTGTACGCCATCATCGATTGATAGGTGTACTGCTGCTTCTCATACTGTGTGCCGTTTGTTGGGTATGGCAGGGACCCGTCGAAGAAGCCAAGGATTTGCGCTCCTTCCATCATCAGCTCGAATTCGAACGACCAGGTAAAGAAATCCTTCCCGTCGAAGGGTTTTGTCGTTTGCAGTTTTAGAACGTGCGCGAACTGCGACTGAACTTGTAGTGCGTCCAGCGTTCTCTCTTGTCCCGGTGCAGGTTGTGGTTGTGGCATGAAGCTGACGGAGCCGCGCTGGGGCTCGTACGGAGCGAAGGTAGGTTGCTGTTGTTGATTCCCGCGTGCGTAGGATGAGCCATCGAGACTCATGGGCGTCACGTTGTTGTTGTTGTTGTTGCTGTTGTTTGATTGCGCAGGTGCTCCTTGCTGATGCTGCTCGTAGAAGGACATGAAGGAGAAGAACTTCTCCATCATGCTTGGATCGAAGCCCGCGCCTTGGTTTGCGGGTGTTTCAGTAGACCCAGCTGCCGGTCTCGTTGTTGTGCCTTCCTCTGTCTGTAGGCCAGAGGCAGGAGGTGGAGTAGGAGTAGTACCAGGAGAGCCGTTGGAGGAGCTCCTCTCCTTTCTGGTAGACATGTCTCTTGGTGTATTAGGTGTTAAGGAGAAATAATTTTAACCCTAACCAGCTCTCATACCATGTTGGGCTGAGTGCCCCTTAGGATCTTTGGTAGGGTTAAACTCTGGGTAGAGTGATGTAGTAGCGGAAGCGTTTTAAATGAAGTCCTTGAACCACCTTGCGCTGGTATGTGAGGGCAAAGTAAGTTGATTAAAACAAGCAAGTACAAAGGTTTATATAAGAGTACAAAGAATACGAAGAGATATAATTAAACTGTTTTACTGTTGCGGTTCGATACAGTGCGACTCGGGCAACTGCTCAATGTCGAGTCAGTTGTGTGTCCTTGCTGTCGCGCTGCATTTGTCAAGTCAAAGGTCGCTGACCTTTGACTTTCGCGTAACCTCCAGCGGTTACTTCAACCTCCGAGGGTTGACTCGCTGGTGCCTCGATATGCTCTGCTTCGCTTGTGCCTTGGTGTTTCGACACGACAGAGGCGCTTAAGATTGTTTGTTCCCAACAGGAGCAACATGCAACATGCAACATGCGGCATGCAACATGCAACATGCGGCATGCAACACACACGGGCCTACTTTCATGTGACCCATGTGGCACGCGCACAAGCGTTACTATCCACTGATACAGTACGGCGAGGCGAGTATAGAAAAGCACTCAAGAAAAAAAAACCATTGTTGCCTGCACACAAGGTCTCATCTCATGTATCCAATTCGCCTTCTCTTCCCCCCTCTCTTCCCTCGCCCGTTTCCACTGCACAACACATCCCCTCTGAGGCTGCTGAGTGTGTTCCTGTGTGTTTTGAGGCACATCCACCCACCATTCCATTCCATCCCATCCCATCCAATCCCAGGCCGAGCCTTGCTGTGTGAAAAGCCACACTGCTGCAGTCCCCTGCACTCTGCCTCTGCTCCACACGTCCAGTCTGACCAACCCCCCCCCCCCCCCCCGTCCCCCGGTAATCTGACTCAACTCAAAAATATGCTAGGGGAGAAGCTGTCATACAGCTAGCGCCCCCCGTGTTCACGCCTCCGCCGTTACCGCCACCCTGGCGGCGCCACTCTCTGTATGTCACCAACCACTTTTAGCCCCAGGCCGGGCCCCTCTTTACACAACTGCTACTGCCCCCCTTTAGCGAGCCCCTTTACTGCCCCCCCTTTAGCGAGCCCCTTTACTCGGCCGCACGGACCCCGGGGGGACATCCACGGCATGGAACTGCGGCGTCCACAGCACCCTCCTCCCACACTCCAGCAGCTGCAAAAAGAAAATCTTCTGCACCGCTCTCCACTGCTGCAAAAACTCCTCCTCGGAGCACACGTGCGGCACCAGCACCTCGTCTAGCACCCTGCTGGGGCCGCAGTAGGAGAAGGGGCGCTGCGACTCGATGTCGTTGAGAGTTATGAGCGAGGACGGGGGGCCCCCGGCCTCATAGTTGGCTGCGTGCAGGCGCAGCAGGAGGTGGCGCTGACGGGCGTAGGCGCCGTGAGAGAGAGAGACAGCTGCCACTGCGTGCACGTCTTCCAGGAGCTCCTCTAGCCGCTCCTTCACCTGGTGGGGGCGGGGAAGGGGAGAGGCAGGGGCGGGGAACGTGGCAAGGGTTAGATGAAGTCAAAGCAGGAGGTGGCGTTGGCGTGCGTAGGCGCCGTGAGAGAGAGAGACTGCTGCCACTGCGTGCATGTCGCTCCTCTAGGCGCTTCTTCACCTGGTGGGGGAAGGGTGGCCAGGCAGGAGCGGGGAGGGGGGAGCGGGAGATGAAGACAAAGGAGGTGGTGCTGACGGGCGTAGGCGCCGTGAGAGAGAGAGCCGGCTGCTACTGCGTGCACGTCTTCTAAGAGGTCCTCTAGCCGCTCCTTCACCTGGTGGGGGCGGGGAGAAGAGGCAGGGGCAGGGGAAGGGGGAGGAATGGAGAGAGACTGGAGAGAGGAATGGCAACGCAGGTGGTGCAAGGACAGAAAGAAGGGAAGAGGGACGAGGACAGAAACAGCAGGAGGGTGGGATGACAGGGCGAAGGGGAAGAGAGCGGGAGTGAGTGAGAGAGGGTGACGATGAGAGAGTGAGAGAACGAGAGTGAACGAGAGAGGGAGAGTGAGAGGGCTTACAGTAGGCAGGAGAGGATCAAACAGCTCCTCTATCTTGATCTGCAGCGCTGCCGCCGACACAGCACCACCACCACTCCCACCTCCTCCACCCCTTCCTCCTCCTCTTCCCCCTTGTGCAATCGACCCAAGAGCCGCATCATACCCCACGTTGAACCGATGGAAAGCCATGCGCCCCTCCACGGTCCCATGCGCATCCTCCATGGCTAGTGCTACCAGGCTGGTTTTGAACTCGCGTGCTCCCATGTGGTGCTGCAGGGAGCGGTGGCTGGCGGCTCGTTCCGCTGCTAGTACAGCCTGTGCGAACTGCAGGGCTCTTGGTGCCACGGATTCCACCTGCTGCTGCTGGTGCGGCTGGTGTTGGTGGTGTTGTTGTTGCTGGGATGATGATGGTGTTGGTGATGGTGTTGAGAGGGAGGGCGATGAGATGAACTCGTAGAAGCGTGTGTGTGAGGGGATGAGCGCGTACCTGGTATGGTGGATGTGGAGGGGTTGGGGCGGGTGGGGGGGTGGGTGGGGGGAAGAGTGAAAGGAGGGAGCAATGGAGGGTAGGAGTATTGGATGAGTTGAAGTTGCAACTCAGACAAGTGCGTTGCATGTTGACAATTGCAGGAGTGAAGGTATAAGACAGTAGAGAGGAACAAGAGAAGGTCACAACACAAAAAGAAAGAAGCAAGGAAAGGAAAAAAGAAGGAAAGAAGTTAGGGAAATGTGAAAGGAATGAAGCAACGTACGACTTGGGCCCCATGCCGAGCATGGACTCTGCAACAAGCTTGGCAGCTCGCAGAGCTCACCTTCTGAGTCAACTCAACGGAAGACTCTCTTCACACGCTGAGCTCATATCTGAGTGTACCGACCACGAAGTGAGCGGGAGCGGGAGCGGGAGCGGGAGCGGGAGCGGGAGCGGGAGCGGGAGCGGGAGCGGGAGCGGGAGCGAGAGTGGGAGAGAGCAAGAGAGGAATACGTACGACTTGGGCCCCATGCCGAGCATGGACTCTGCAACAAGCTTGGCGGCCTCGCAGAGCTCTGCAGGGTGCGAGTGATCCGGAACAACGACAGGCCACATGTGCCACGGCAGGCGCGCAGCCACCTCTGGCGCCACCTCTAGCATGTGCCGCCGCTCCACCACCAGGAAGGAGTACAGGAACGGCTCCGCTGGTGATGGCAGTGATAGTGGTGCTGGTGATGGTGATGGGGATGGTGATGGTGCGGTGCTGTGGCTGGAAGTGGCTCCTGTGGTAGCGGGAGTGGCAGCGGAAGCAGTGCGGGCAGCTATGCTGGCGGAGGCGGGTGGAGAGAGAGAGGCTCCCGGGTGGGGTGTGCGAGTGAAGGGTACGGGTGGGGTGGATGAGGAGGAGGAGGAAGAGGAGGAGGCAGAGAGGAGGTCGTAGGTGCGGAGAGCAGCAGGGGAGAAGGGGTCCTGGGGAGGGGAAAGGCAAGGGGGAGAGCGAGGGGGATGTGGTGAGTGGATGGGAGTGTTGCAAAAAGTGGGAATGGGCACGGGATGAGGAGTTATGAAGGAGGGATGAGAACGAGACAGCGGTTACAAACACAGAGAAGCATTGAAACTGGATTGGTGGTAGAGTTGACACTGGCGCGATGGAGAAGGAGAGTGGGGGGTAGCAGCCATGTAAAGAAAAGATGAAAAACGGTTGAGATGGGGGGAGTGGGTGTGCAGGGAGGGGGGAAAAGTGGGAGAATTTGCGAAGGAAAAACATGGCACAGGAAATCAGGGCAGGAAAATCAGCGCAGGAAAAACAGAGGGGAGGGGTGGAGAAAGTATCAGCACGCATGCCCCGCAACCACAACCCGCAACCCAGAACTCCCAGACCTCCCTCCCCCAATCCTCCAACCCTCCCTCCCTCTTTCCCTCCCCATTCAACCTTCCTTTCCTTCCCCAACCCTTCAACCTTCCCTCCCTCCTCCTCCGCCCACCACTTGCCCTCACCTTGGAAATGAAGAACATGGGGGGGCAGATCTGTTCAACAACGTTCGTGGCATGCTTGCACACATGCTCGTAGTGGTTCAGGAAGATGTCCGCCCACTGCCCCACTCTTATCGCCCGCGCCCTCGCCGGACTCCGCGTGAACTCCAGCCATGAATACGGCGACTTCACATCCCGCTCGCCTCCCGGCCCGCCTGTTAGATCAGTCACCCAGATGATCTCCGGCCCTGGTCGGGCCTGCAAAGGAACTTGTTTTAGTTTTCGGTGGAGTAAGGGGGGGCCGGAGTCAGGAAGACGGCTGGGGGGCAGGCCTTGAGAGGCACGGGCAGCAGCAGCCGCGGCTGCGGCAGCCGCGGCGGTGGCGGCGACAGTGGCGCGGACAGAGCAAGCAGCGTTGTCGATGCGCGCGGCCGGTGCTGCCCCTGACCCTGACCATGCGCCTGGTGCTTCTCCTGAGCCTGACCCACCCGGAAATGAAGCTATGGCGCCACTGTTGGTGGTTATTGCAGCATTAGTGGCAGCGGTTAAGCTATGGTTTGTGCCGGTTCCTAGCCCGGTGGGTGCGAGACTGCTTATCCCAGCGGAGGGTGGAGTGGTGTAGTTGATAGTGATGGCATCCGATGTTGGGTGGCGGCCGGGCAGGACTGGGGGAGGTGGAAGCTTGCGCACAGAAGGTATGGGTCTGGGGGGAGGGGAGGGAGAGGGAAGTGGGATTGGGCGGGAGGGAGGAGAAGCATGTGAGGGGAAGGATGCGGAGGGAGACGGGGAACAGGTAGTTGAACGGGATGGGATGGGCGGAACAGAAAGGAAGGGAGCAGAACGAGCTTTGAAAAAAACGAGACGAGGAGAGGTAGTGTGCTAAGAAAGCAGGAGAGGGGACAGACGATGGCTCATTGCTTTGCAAGAAAGTGCCTATCAGAGAATGTAGACGAACCTGCAGGGGATGGTGAGGGTGGGATTGAGTATATCCTTGGACAGTACCAACAGCCCTAGCGCCACTTCTCTCACTGCCACTGCTGCTTTTGCCACCTCCAGGCCCCCCTTCCTCGCCTTCACCTCCTCCCCTGTTACCACTCGCCCCACACGCATGCCTGGAGCAGCTGCAGCAGCAGCAGCAGAAGCGGCAGCAGAAGCAGCAACAGTGGACGAAGGAACTGCCAGAGCAGGAGCTGCATCGTTCGTCAGGCCTGGAAAGAACGGGAGGTGGTGCTTCCTAGGGCTATCTGCTGCTGCTGCTGCTGCCAACCCTGCCGCCACTGCACCCCCTGCTGCTGCTGCTGCTGCTGCTGCTGCTGATCCAGCGTCTAGAAGTGAAGCAGGTGGGTGAGAGGCAAGTGCAAGCCCACAGGGACCAACAGCACTTGTGGCTTGCCCCTTTGTCAACCACGGAAAAGGTGTGGCAGTGGCAGCAGCAGGAGGAGGAGCAGCAGCGTCGGCATTTCCAGCAGCAGTCTCACCAGCCGCACCAGCTGCGGCAGAGAGCAAAGCAGCCGCAGCCGCAGCCGCAGCTGCAGCCGCAGCCGCAGCAGGGGCAGGACTAGGCAAAGCGGAAAACGACGTTGGGAGGCAGGAGGAGGAGGCGAGGGGATGCAGGACGTGCAGGGCGAGGGAGAGGGCCTGCGGGGCCATGGTGTGGTGCGCCCAGTGGCGCAGACGCATGGCAACGCTGGTGGGCGCATCAAAGAGACGCACTGTGCTCTCCTGCGCAAAGTCCGCTGCTGCTGAGGCATCTGCAGGGGGGGAGGGGGGATGTGAAAGAAGGAGTGCGGTTAGGTCGACTTGAAGAGACGCACTGTGCTCTTCAAAGCAAAGTCCGCTGCTGCTGTGGGTGTGGCGGTGGGAGCGGAGGGAAGAAGGGGTTGGATGAAAGGGAGGGAAGGAAGTAGGAGGAGAGCATGGGGGGGAGAGGGAGTGGAGATTGGGGAACGGGAAGGGAGAAGGTGAGGGGGGATAGAGGGAATGGGAGGGTGAATGGGAGGGGAGCGAGGGAGAAGGAAGGGACGAGGGGTTGTGGGAAGACAGGCCCACGCAAAGGGCTTGTGTCTCGCTTCAAACAAGAGTGAAGCTCGGCAGAACAATGAGACGTGAAGAATATGCCATCCCGACACCCCCTTCCCATCCCCTCGTCCCCCCATGTTCTTCCCACGCATATCCCTCCCCCAAATCCCTTGCTTCCCATCACTAGCCGTGTATGTGATGTGTGTGTGAGAGAGAGACGGAGAGAGAGGGAGACTGACCTATGGAGCGAGCCATGTGGTGCCGCCATGCCTGCTCCAGCTCTTGTCGAACCATGCCATGCAACACTCCCTCTACTGCCCCCACATCCCCTGCTCCCCCGATTCCTCCCATTCCACCCATCCTTTGCACTTTTGCGCCCATCTCTCTTTCCCCTTCTCCTTTCTCTCCTGCTCCTCCTCCTCCTGCTGCTCCTGCTCCTGCTGCTGTTGTCCCAACACTCGCTCCCACCATCTCGGCCCAATCCAAACCACCAGCACAAGCAGACCCAGCGCGGTTCCACCCAACCCCCTCACCCATGCCTCTCCCCACACCCGCCCACCCAGCCGCCCCTTCCTCTTCCACACGCGCCTTCCCCTTATCCACCCCTTTCCCCTTCCCACCACCCCCTGCCACACTCCCCCCTGCACCAGCCCTCCCCGTCGCTCTTCCACCTCCGTCCCTCCCCCCCGCCCACGCATCCCCATCGTCCCCCAGGCGCCGGGACGAGGGAAAGTGGTGCGGGGAGAGGAGGGAGAGTGCGGCTTCTAGGCCTAAGGAGCGGTGCACAGACCACAGCTTGTCTAGGGCCGTCTCAGATGCTACCACAAAGCTGCTCGATATGCTCAGAAGCATGTCCCCTTCCTCCTCCTGCTCCGCTTGCTCCGCCTGCTGCCCCTGCTGCTGCCCCTGCTGCTGCCCCCGCTCCTCCTGCTCATCCTGCCCCTCCTGCGGAGAGGGTGGTAGTGATGGGGGTGCTGCTGGGCAGCTGCGGTAAGGAAGATCGGAGGGAAGAGAGGGGAGAGAATGGGGAAGAAGGTAGGGGTTGGGGGAGGGGAGGGGAGGGAGGAGGCAAGACGGAGAAAGGGGGGAAGAGAGAGGGAGGGAGCACACGGGGCGGGAGGTGGCAGTGAGTGGGGATGCCGAGGATGGAAAGAGCTCCATGCTTTGCTTTTGCTGGGTACTGTGGAGCTAGAGCAAGCGATGAGGGAAAAAGAGAGGGGCGGGAGGGGGGAGGGGCGCGGGGAGGGAGAAGTGGGGAGAGGGATCGGGAGGGAAGGGATGGAAACCAGAAGCGTGGACCAGCAAAGGGTGGCAGGACACGGTTGTGTGCATGTGAAGGTGGGGGGGGGAGGGGAGGGGGGGGAGGGGCGGTGCGTGAGATGCAGGGTGTGTGAGCAAGGAGCAGTGGCAGGAGTGCGAGCAGTGGCAGGAAAGGGAAACTCACGCGCGTGAAGAGGACGCGAGCATGGCAATGGCCGCCTCTTGCTCATCCAGCATCAGCGCGCACGCCTTTTGAGGCGCCTCACAAGACAACAGCAACCAATGCTCAACAACAAAGGGGAACTCACGGATGCGAAGAGGAGGACGCGAGCATGGCAATGGCCGCCTCCTGCTCGTCCAGCATCAGCGCACATGCCACATCCCCCAGCCCTTCAAACGACTGCCGCAGCGCCCCCACCACAAACGCCACCATTCTCCGCCACCACCGCTCGCTCCCATCGCTCGCCCACGCGCACGTCTCCAGGTAATCCTGCACCTCGCAGCGTAGCGCGTCCAGCTGCTGGTTGATTTCCTCCCGGAAGGCGGAGAGGAAGCACTGCTCGCTCTTGAAGCGCACGTGCTCCCAGTGGGCTTCCGCTGCAAAGGTGGCCGCGGCGGCGCTCAGTGCGTCGGGGCGGCTGGCGTTGCTGCAGCTGCTGCCTGGGATGCTGCTGAATGCCGCGGCGCTGCTGCTACCAGCGGGAGGGGTGGTGGTGATGGGTTTGCTGCTGCTGCTGGTGCTGGTGCTGCCGTTGGTGGTGTTGCTGCTTCCGGGGAGGAAGAACGGAAGGAGCTGGTGAGAAGATGGGGATGAGAAGAGAGGTTCAGACTTTCCCGGAGGCGCAGCAGACGGGAGCGAAGATGATTGCGCTGGAGTATGCACCAGTGGTGCATGGTGCGGTGCGGTACCATGCGGTGGTACATGGTGCGGTGGTGCATGGGAGAGAGTGTGAGCAGCGGCAGAGAGGAGCAGATTCCATGGGAGGTCGGATGAGGTTTCCGACGGGGAAGGCGTGGAGGGGAGAGAGGGTAGAGAAGGCACAGACGAAGCAGGAGGCGCAGAGGGAGACAGGAGGGGAGGAGGAGAGAGAGGAGGAGGAGGAGGAGGAAGCATGCTGCTGCCGATAGTCAAGTCGGTTAATCTGTCGCCGTTACCACCGAGCTTGTTGCTCTCTGTGCTCTCTTTCACATTAATACTACTGCTGCTCTTCTTGATGCTACTGCCACTGGCACTGCTATTGCTACTCCCACTGCCGTTCCCGCTCCCGGTGCTGTTATTCTTGCTGCTGCAGCCGCTGTTGGGGTTGCCGTTGCCGTTGCTACCGAGGTGGGCGTTGCTGTGTGGGTTGGGCAGCAGCCCGTGGCGAGTGAGGAGGCCGTTGAGAGTGAACGCGAGGGTAGTGGCGGCCCACAGCAGCATCTGATTGTCATGCTGCAACACATGCGACTGCAGCACTGGGTGCTCCTGTGGAGGGGAGACGAACCGACGGGGAGGGCCAGGGGCGGAAGGTGTAAAGGAAGGGGAGAGAGAGAGTCATGCACTTCCAGTTAGTTTGGACTGAAACTTATCAATCTTTCCGCGTTCTTGCATTCTTTCATTCAGCCCACGATCGTCTAGGTTCTGGAAAGCTCGGCTTGCATGTGAGGACTATTCGACCGCCTGGCAATGTGATGCTGCGCCGGCGTGTCTGTGTGGCCGTCCGTCCGTGTGCCAGTGAGAGTGACTCACCTGGAAGGAGAGCACGCCGGGCGGGAGCACTTGCAGAGTGTGGGCGAGGTGAGTGCTGAGCTGCGCCCTCTGGTGCACGTCCACACACGGTGCTAGCGCCCCACACCGCGCCACACCCGCAAACCGCGCACGGAAATACGCCCGCCGCTCGTCCGCATGCGGCCCTGCACTCACCCCACCACCATTCCCACTCCCACTCCCACTCCCACCACCACCACCACCACCACCACCACTGCCGCCGCCAGTGCTGCTCCCGGCGCTGCCGCCAGCAGTGGCACCGAGGGCAGCAGAGAAGGGTAAGTCGAGGGATGGGGCAAATCTACCTGCAGATCCATTCATTCCTGCCATTCCTGCTGGCCATACAGCCGTTTCGCCCCATGCCTTCCCGTTGCTGCTCTCTCCAGGACCAGCACCACAGCCACAGCCACACCCACCGCACGCATCCCCTGCACCACCACCACCGCTCTCACAATCCCAACCTTCCCCGCAGCCTGCCCCTCCCCCCGCCCCTCCCCCCGCGCCGCCTCCCCCTGCGCCCACGGTGCAGTAGTCCAGCGGGATGAGGAAGAGCGGGGGGCGGGGCCGGAAGAAGAGCCCTGGCCACAGCAGCGCGCGGATGAGGCGGTCAGAGAGTGGCTGGCGCGCGGAGCAGGGCACAATGACGTCCGCGCGCTGCAGTAGCTGCTGCAGGGCTGGGGAGGCTGCGACACTGCGCGTGCCGGGCGTCTGGATGGGTGGTGGGGGAAGGGGGGAAGAGGGGAGGAAGGTGGGGGAGGGGTACACGGGGAAAGAGGGCGCAGGAGGAGGGACGAGGGGGATGGGGGCATGTGCACCAAGAGCAGCAGGGACATATACAAGAGCAACACACACAGCAATACAAGCAGCAGCAACAGCAGCAGCAGCAGCAGCAGCAGCAGCAGCAGCAGCAGCAGCAGCAGCAGCAGCAGCAGCAGCAGCAGCAGCAGCAGCAGCAGCAGCAGCAGCAGCAGCAGCAGCAGCAGCAGCAGCAGCAGCAGCAGCAGCAGCAGCAGCAGTAGCCGCAGCAGCAGCAGCAGCAGCAGCAGCAGCAGAACGCACATCGAAGAGGGTGTAACCAGCAGGCAACCCAATAGCCGGCGACTCCAACAGCAGCGCCTCCACAGCCAGGCGCTGCCCCTCTGTGAGCCTCGCAGCAACGCTCCCCGCCAGCATCTGCATGCGCCCAAACACCCCCCCCTCCGCCGCCTCCACCTCCGCCTTCCCCACCACGCCCCCTATCACCACCTCTGGCAGCTTCACCACTTCCGGCGCTACCAGACGAATCCTGCCGTCCACGACCGCGCAGCCGAAGCACTCGCGGAGGTACACGCGGAGGTGGTGGACCGCGCGGGAGGAGGCAGCATTCAGAGTGGCGCCCGCATTGCCGTTTGCGCTGCTGTTGCCACTGCCGATGCCGCCGGTGCCAGTGCCGGTGCCGGTGCTGGTGCCGGTATTCCCAAGAGCAGCAGCAGCAGCCGCGGCAGCAGGGTCAGAGAGCGCGAGAGAGTCGACCAGGGACGTCACGAGGGCCTCGAACGCGGCGGGGGAGCGGGGGAGGAGGGACGCGCGCAGGTGGCTGGGATCCGGGTGCTCCAAGCGGCGCACTGCAATGGTGATGGCGGGCGCAGGCGCGGAGGACGCAGAGGGCGTGTGGGGGAAGGGAGGAGAGGCAGCTGCGGCGGTGGGCGCTGCTGCTGCTGGCGCACTGCCGGCAGCAGCAGCAACAGCTGCAGTAGAGGCAGAAGCAGGATGAAGATGTGAAGGAGGACGAGGAGGCGGAGTCGCAGAAGGGGTGGGGGTTGCAGGAGGTTGGTGCATGTTAAGCAGCACTTGTGCCTGCTTGTCCTGCTGCGCCTGCACCCACTCCTGCCACCTGCTGCTCTGCTCGCCGCCCCCCACTGCAAACGGGCCCTTGCCTTTCCCCTTCCCCTTCCACTTCCCTTTACTGTCTCTCTCTCGCTCCCTGTCCCTATCTCTGTCTCTGTCCTTGCGTGTCTTGCTGCTCCCCCCTTCCTCGCCCTCCTTCCTGCCCTTGTGCCGCTCCTCAGCCTTCCGTTTCTCTCCTGAACCGCCGTCAGTGGACCGTGCAGCAGCAGCAGCAGCAGCAGACACGCCTTCCTTCTCCTGCTCCTGTTGCTGCTGCCTCCGCCGCCGCCTCTGCTGATGCTGCTTCTCTACGTCCGCCCCTCCCCCTTGCCCTTCAACCCCTTCCGCCTCCTCTCTCCACCTCTTCTTACAACCTGACTCGCCGCCTCTTCCCTCCCTGCCTTCCTTTCCGCCTTTCCCATGCCTCCTCTTCTTTCCGCCTCCCGCATCGTTCCCTGTTCCCTCCTCGCTTGCAGCAGCACCACCCGCAGCATCGGCAACAGCGGCAGCAGAAACACCAGCAGCTGCTGCAGCAGCGGCAGCGGCAAAAGCAGCAGCAGGCGCCAACCCTTGCTGTTGCTGATGCTGCATTGCCAATAAAGGTGCTACAGTTGCCCGTGCTGCTGCAGGGGTGATAGCGGTGGTGGTGGCAGGCATGCCGGATGAAAGAGGGAAAGGCCCTCTAGTTCCGTCACTACCAGGGCAGACGAGTCTGTTAATAACGAGGACAAGGCGGATAGAGGGGAAAAAAACGGATGAGAGGGAACAAAAGGACAGAGAAGATCAGGGATGGAGGAAAAGGATGAAACAAACGGCCAGGTAGGTAGGAATCGATGCTGCTGCCGACTGCGAGAGAGGTAGGTAGGTAAGATTGAATGGGATGAGAACGCACTAACAGCAGGCAAGCCGACACACTTGCCTGCACGCATATAAGCACACATACACACGGATACACACACATATAGAGACACACCCACCCCACACGGCTTCTCCCCTCCCTCCGATACCCATAGTACCATACCCCCCACAATCTCGCAATCACCGCATCCCCCTCCCGTTTCCCCTCCCTTCCCCCTCCCCCCTCTTTCCCTCTCGTCCCTCTCGCCACGCTCCCCCAGCACCAGCACTCACCGGTTCCCCAGGTGACTCTTCCCCGCGCCAGCGCCCCCCACGAGCACCACGCGCACGTCCCGCTCCCCCTTGGCGCGCACGGCGCGCTTCAGCTCCGCCAGGTACCCCGCCACCTCCTTGTGCTGCAAGCAAGACTCGAGTTTCTCTGTAGCGAGGATGAGCTTGCGGATGAACTCGTCCAGCCCCGGGTGGTCGGGCGCGCGCTGGGTTCCGCCGCCCCACGGGGGGAGCTCCCCGCGCTCCTGGTTGGGGGAACGAGGAGGGGGGGAAACGGAGGGATAGGCAGCGGGAAGAGGAAACGAAAAGTAAGAGGCGGCGAGGGAGGGGGGGGAGGAACGCGAGGGAGGGGGAGCAGGAAGTGTGTGGGGGGAGGGGGGGAGAGAGAAAGGAAGAAAGCAAGGAGAAAGCGCACGCGTATGTGTCGAGTCGAGGCGCTGAGCAGTGGGGCCAACATCCACGTATGGCGCGCCGGGCAGCGCGGATGGCGCATTGGCCGCAGATAGCGCATTCGGCGCGCATGCTGTGCGTGCGCTCAGCAGACAGAAGCTCATGTAAACTCTCCGCTTCATCCCCTACCCAGTTCCCCATTCCCCTTCCCCGCACCCGCTCTTTCCCGCTACCCCCCACCCTCCCGCGCCTTCCCCGGCGCGCCTCCGCGCGACTACCCTTCCGCGCGCGCGCACCAGTTTGGGGACGACGACGTCGTGGATGAAGCGCTTCATGTGCTGCGCGCGCGCGCGGTCCTTGGTTGTGCGGTCCAGAAAGCCCAGCGCCTCGCGCAGCGATATCACCGACATGAGATTCTTCCCCTCCTTGATCTTGTCGCGACTCCCCTTGAACGACGACCGGCTGCGCGCGCGCGGCGACGGGAGCGGAAGGGGGGAGCGGAGCGAACGGGGAGAGAGAACGGGAGGGGGGATGCAGGAAGAAAGAGGAGAGGAAGGGGAAGGCAGGGAGAACGGGAAGGGGAGGGAGAAGGGAGGGTTGTGGAGAAGGGAGGGAGGGCCGGAGTGGGGAGAGGGGCGAGGAGGAGTTTTAGTTGATGTTTCGAGCATGTTACAGCCAACGACGGAACACCATGGTCGTATAACGTCTCGGAGCCCGCAGCAGCCGCCAGTCGAAACTCTCCTCCCCCCACCCCCCCCCCCCCCTCTCTCTTTCCCCCATCCTCCCCCACTTGCTCCCCTTCTCTTCCCCCATTTCCCCAACTCCGGTTTCTCAGACCCCGCCCCCCGCGCAAGGCGCACCTGTTGCCAAGTTCCAGCGCCTTGCCGATGCCATTATCTCCGCCCAACTGGAAGCGCAAGCACTCGCGGATGCACCTTCCGCCTGCGCGCAACACACCAGGGGGCGGAACGGCGAAGGCGCGGGACGAAAGAGAGGGCACGGGGAGGAGAACGGAGGAACGGCGGAAGGCCAGAGGAAGATTGACGGGAGGGGCGGAAAGTGCGCGGAAACCTCGTAGGCGGAAGGGGCTGCCCGAGCTGCGCCGACGGCGGAAGGACGAACGGGTAGGCGGAAAGGTGGAAGGGCGAGCGGAAGGACGGGCGAGGGAGCGAAAGGATGGTCCACGGAGAAGAATGGAATAGTTTGAAGCATTCTTTGGCCCTTACCCAGGTCTTTAGGAACGTAAACGCGCAGAGCGGTGCCTTGAAATTCTGCCTTGTACGCGTGGAAATTCGCGGACGGCTGCGCCACAGCATGCGCGCCTCCGCGCTCCGTTCCGCCCGCGGGAATCCCGTCCGCCCTTCCGCCCACAGTGGCTGCGCCAGCGCCGCTCGCGCAAGCTCCGCCTCCCTTTTTCGCCGCAAAACCGGCGCTGGCGGAAGCTGCGGGATGCGCGGAGGCGGCGGCAGCGGCAGCGGCAGCGAAGCTTTCCGCAAACGGCCCCTTCATAGACGCAGGCATGCCGGCCGATGACAACAGGAACGACGGCGTTGCTCCTTTCCGCGAAGCCGGGGCTACGGCGGGAAAGCGCGCAGGCGGTTCCTCTTTCGGCGCAGCGGCTGGATAGTTCCGCCGGTGATGCGCGGGCGGCGGCCTGTGGGGGTTTCAGATAGAAACGAGAACGACGGATGAAGGACTGGGGACGCAATAAAGACGTCGACATGATAAGCAGGCGAAGGGGCGGATGTATAGACAGAAGGAGGCGAGGGAGTAGGGAGGGACATCGGAGACGGATGGAGGGAAGACGCAAGGTGAGAAAAGAAGGGGGGAAAGAAGACGAGGGAGATATTGCGGAGAGGAAGGGGAGACGTGCGCCAGAGGGAAACGAAACGCCGAGCGACGGGAAATGCGATAGAATGACAAGCTGACGCGGAAAAACACACGCCTCGCGACGTAACACGTTACTTGGACAGATTGAATGCGCGAAGTGAACACGGAGCTAACAGTCGAAAAGGCGACACGAAGGACGGAAAGGACGAATGGTCAGTGGCGGGATGGAACGGTCGGATAATGAGGCACGTATGAGAGAACGAGTGGGGAAACATTCGTGGAGAAGCGTCACGCTTCTGCGGGTGATGCGTTGGCGAGGTGAGAGGAGGAACTGCAGAAGAACCTAGCGATCTCATCGACGCATCTCAACGGCGCGTGCATCAGTCGAACCGCTAAAGCGTAACGAGAGATTGGAAGCGGGGATGGCAGGATCTGACGAGATTCTTAAGAGCGATACTAATGAAATAATCGGTGCCGGATTCGTACATTATGTCCTTGTTGTTGCCGCTGAGATTATACCCAACTTCTTGTCTCGCCCTTTTCCCATTAGCACTGCTACCCGGCGTAGCATGCATGATGGACCACTATGAAATGCCCTAAAGTCAATTATCTGTGAACAAGCTACGGATAAGTGTGCCCTCGGTGCTAGATCTAACAACTACAACACGGTTTTCCTAAACTGAGTCCCGCATGCTCCCAGCGGCAACTGTAGAATATTTCCACGGGTTTCCGCACTATAGAAACCGTTAAAACTGCAGCACTCCCGCGGCACGGCGACGGCTATCGCTCAACCACTACCGCAGAGACAGGCGTAGTGGCCATCGCTCCGTCACGACTGACAGGATCGTGGAGTGACACGGACTGAACCCTAGACTCGAAGGTGTAGGTGTGATGAGTACAAGCTTCGACCCCTGAGTTCCGCCCTAACTGCCTAACTCACTCACTCCCCTGAGTCTGACTTCCCCGACTCTGGCTTCCTGACTCCCCCAACTCTCGAGGGCAGCAAGAAAGATTTCCTCCGCCAAGCCAGCCTCGTCAGATCCTGCCAGGAAGCACGCGAACATTGGAGGCCTGGACGAGAGCAGCAATGCACGAGCTTGTGCTGGACGGGCGAAGACACGCACGAGGACGGGCTGGGGGAAAAGACGTCGGGTCGTACGGGGAGGAGGGTGGGGGCAAGCGGATGGCTTCGCCGCCCAAACAGTCGATCGGGGTGGGGTTTGGTTCGGTTGCGGGCCCCCCACCCGCGGGGGGTTCAAGGTCTCGTGGTGCAGATGACGTTGTGTTCTGGCGCCATCGTCACCACCGCTCCCCAGAGTTTCCCGCCCACGCGGCATGATGAACTGTAGGCTGGACTGTATGGGGGAATCCGCGTGCCAGGTGTTTCTGTCGCTGAGGCCCGCCGAAGGTCACCGCCCTTTCCCACTGCCTTGGGCTTTCAGCAGCCCGCGCTCACTGGCTCGGCCCACGTGGCTAACCTCACCCACCTAACATATTTCATCATGCCCTGCCCCTTCGAACTCAGCTGGGTATGTCATCCCTTCCTTTTTCATCAACCTGCCCGTTTCTCAGCGAACCCATCCATCCACATGTAGACGTTTGGGACCTGGGGTGACAGAACAGTTCCTACGCAGGTGCTTCTTGAGAAAGTTCGGCATTGAAACGCCAATGCGGACTTCTGTAAGGCGGCAACGTTTGGCTCAACGTGTACGCTACTGTACAACGCCAATGTGGACTTCTGCGATTGCCTTCAACAGTTCTTGATTGTGTGCGACTGAGCTGCACTAGAGCACTGCCACTGGTAGTGCACACCATAATAAAAAATTCAGTGCCCCGAAGGGTCGACATAATGGTAGACTTCAATTAGACGTCAATTTACGATGGAAACTAAGGTTCAAATCATATATCTCGGAATAAACGTTTATTATAATATAATATGAGCTGAGATAAAGATTCTATAAGAAGCGTTGTTCAAAAATAAAACCATGACTAAAGCCCTAATATATCCTTATGAATGCTCGACCAACAAGGTCTTTCAAAGTAGGTCTTCCTATGGAAAACTGGTATACTTGGGGGAATGTAGATATTTGCATCCAGATCATCATTCAACTTTTGTTGCCTGCCCGTGCTGGGTTGCCGAAAAGTGCAAATCATACAGTACAGCTTGATTGTTGGGGGAGCACTGCAGCGTCGGAGCGGAATTCAGAATTCTGATTGCTCTTGATTTACGCACACTCGTGCTGTACCGTACTGAAATTGTTTTAGGTTGTCTCGTTCCGTATGTCAGCAATCGAGCACCGAGATCAGCAATCGTTGATTTTCCAAACTTGCCGACCTGGCCTGAGCTCCCAGAAAATAGCCCTGAACTTTTTGGAGGGTGTTGGTAGAATACGGGGCCCGCAGGAGCAAGTGCTTTGTTTCCAGCGTCCGCACGACCTCGAGCGATTGACAACTGAACGGTGTGTACAGAAGATTTAGCAACGCCCTTTCGTCCCAGGGCCGGGGCATCTGTCAAGGGATTTGGGCAAAATTGCGCGACGCGCTGGCGCGCGAACTTTTCTTAATCCCATCGACCAAACTCGCACCGCAGGTAGGGCGACCGAACCTCGTCCAAATGGATCGACCTACATGCGCTTCCACGTTATTTTCATGCTGCAGGCGAGGTCTTATCGACGTTACAGGTGCCATTTGGTTTTACGGCCAGAATCGCGGGATTACAGCTTGGGGTTTCGATCCTTTCATCAAACAAATTTGCGACGTGTGATGTCACTTCAGTCTGGTCGCGCAGACAAATTTGCGACATGTAAACCAAATTTGCTTGTCTTATGCTGTTTTTGTTTGGTCTGTTTTTTTGTACGGTGTAAAATGAACTAAACCCCGTAGGGAGCCAGGCACACTTTCAATGCATCAACCCTAAACACCTTGACAGTTCCCGTGTTTAGGGTTGATCCCTCCCAAATCGCACCACATTCAAGGCATTAACCCTAAACACCATGCTTCCCGTGTTTAGGGTTGATGCCTCCCAAATTGCGTTCCTGCCTTTAGGGGTTTATTTTTTTTCAGCCCCTGCTTAGATTCAGAGCTCCGTAGATGTTTCAGAAAATCGCGTTTGACACGCGCAAAAAAAAAAAACATGTAGACAAAAAACCTGACACGCGCACGAAACAATTTTGCGCCATCAGAAACAGACAAACCAACCGAAACTTGTAAGGTCACGCCAATGTAGCCACAATTGCGACCTTGTATTTACGAAAACACGAACACCACCTGGCAAACATTATCCCGCGCGCGAACAACCTTCTGTGTTCCCCATCCACGAAAACCTAGCGAGTTTTCTGATCCATCAGCTCAGACAAGCTCTCCGCCATGGCTCCTACGATAACTTCAACTCGTGCAATGTCAAGCTAACATTTATCAGCTTCAAGATCTGAATACATATTTTGGGTCTACTCATCAAGGGCTTGATTTCGACACCACTTTATGTTCAAACAGAGAACATTGGTTCGTCGTGACTTCCTCTTGTGAAGATCTGTTTTCAGGTTCTTAAACTGGTTTTAAGCTCAAGACATTTAGTTTCTCTAAGGAAGCTATAATGCCCAGGCTTAGCACAAGTCATAATCGGAGCTGGAACCTGGAAAGCAACACAGACACAAGACATGAGACGAGAAAGTACAAGGCAGCTGGACCGCCAAATATTTTTCGCCTATCAATCTTCTCTGCCATTCTTCGACAAGAGACAAGAAATGAAACGTCTCGTTACCCGCGGACATGTTTATTACCACCGTCAAGAGCGACTAAATCCGGATCAGCGGTGGTTTCTGACAAGACAGGGTATACA